CTTATAGTTGGATACTAGCTGACGAACATCTGTCACTTGATGGAAGTCTCCTGGGAATTATGCAGTTTGCTTAGGGAGGTGATAACATAAGTGGATGTTTTGTTGAGACGAGGGATAGTTGGAGTGTTTGATTCCATAATAACCAAGAGACTCGTCGATGGATTTTTTCTTGGGTAGAGAAACACCTTAGTTTGTGCGATGTATGAGTTTGTGTATTTAGTGTTCCAACAGAGCATGAAGAACACGGTTTGTAGAGTAGAATGAATTCATTCTATTCAACGGCTTCTCATCAGCTGCATACAAATTAGAATTACAATTCTCAATGTAATTATCAACAATTGTTTAGCATACTTTATTTTGTAAAGTTTAGATAAATGTCCGAAACGTAACCGAAATCATAATAGTACGAAGAATAGGTATACAAAATACCAAGTATTTTGTTATATCATTCCATGATAGATCAACACCCTTCCGACGTCACCTCAAATCGCATCTATGAATTTATATTTGCTTGCGGTAGCATGTATACAGGAATGATAGATAGAAGGGTGTGTATTAGGATTCTGAACACATTCCTAGGATCGTACGACTGAAAGGGAGTAAAGTGTTTACAAGTGCTATTGTCAGACACCTTTTGGACAGTGGACACGAGATGAATATAAGTAATGCATTCAAAATAATTAACAGACAACAAACACCAAGGTTATTGCGTTTGGCAGAGGTGATCGACATCAAACGTTTCCGACCTGACCTATGTATACAGAAGGGAAGTGTGACTAACCTTCATTTGACATGATGGTCGGATGTTTATCTAATGACGTTCATTAGTTTTGATTTTTAAATTTTCTTTCCAACTCTGTCCCCAACTTCCTTAGCTTTATTATTCTTGTTGGTGTCCACATATTTGTTTTCTTTTATCATGTTGAGTGATTACGCGACCAATTATTAATTTCATTACCTTTACATAGCCTCTTTTACCTTGGTTATGATTACTGGTAATTATAATGCCTACCTTACTCTGAATTATTACAGTCCAACATGTAAATACACATCGATCTTAACTATGTTTATTCATAAATTTTGTATCCGTATTCTTCTTACTATTATGATTTCGGTTACGTTTCGAATATTTGTCTAAACTTCACAAACTAAAGTATTATAAACAAATGTTAATAATTACATTGAGAATTGTAATTCTAATTTGTATGCAGCTGACGAGAAGCCGTTGAATAGAATGAATTCATTTTATCCTGCAAAGCTTGTTGTTCTTGCTCTGTTTAATTGTATCAAGGGATCTGGTTGTATGACATTTAGTGTTTGCTTAGGCTTTTGTGTATGGGAAAGAAGTTGTGATTGACGATTATGGATATGTGGGACTCCTAGATCGTGTGTTTTGTGACTTGGCTTAATTTGTAGTTCTATGTAAATCGGCATCTAAGTATGTGATACGCTAGCTAACATAGCCTACAGTGGTTGTAGAGATGGGAATACGTGCGAGTGGGATAGGGTGTAGCTGAGGAATTTCCCAAGGGTCGTTTTGTTTTCAGGGATGCTTGACACATTGTCTGCAAGCCTACAGGTGAATTTGGCGACCGTGTGCGTAGTGTGTAGTGTCTTGGCCGACCGATGGTGATGGGTTTTTTGCGGAATCGCTGAGTTTTTGTGGTAAGTCGGTGATAATTGTACTTATGTATTGATTGAAATAGGTTTCCTGTGTTCACGATGGTGATCAGTCGTATTTGTTATCAGGAGGTTTTGGTCAGTGTTCGTGGATATTGGTGCGGAAATTCCAGGTTAGTTAGTTAGTTAGTTAGACGGTAAACTCTATTACTGAGTCAGTTCCTAATATTATTGTTGAGTATTTTCATGTTTCCCAGTAATGGTTATATGATGAGTGTATGACACCTCTTATGAATTGTTGATTCGTCTTTCACACTGATCACTATTTTATGCAGTGATTTTTTCTGTTAGTTTCAGATATTCGTGCCGGTTCGTTGGTAAGTGTATACATTTGAACTCCTCCTGATGATGAACTAATTGCGTGTCATATGAATTAAAATTGATCGTATTATTAGTCTGATAAAAGTCCGCTTATATATTTATTGTTCTGTTCAGAATGCATAGAATTATTGTTAAAGTATATTGAGTTTTAATTTGTATTGTTTCCTATTTCAATTGCGACAGGTTATTTCGAATTGGTTGTTTTCAGCATTCGATTGGGGAATGTTGATGGATGTGGTTTTCCATTTGGTGGTTTGTAAACTGGGATGTGTCCTACGAGTTCATAGTGCCACTCCATTCTGGCTGTCTGTAAAGAGTGTGATAAGAAGAGAATTGTAAGAATGTAAAAGGCAATATGTAATACATTTTTACAAGAAGCTAAGTCAGTTCTGAATTGTCTTTACTGACTGTGGGGTTAGTTACAGGGGTTCGTGTCTTCAGACACTCGCATAAATTTGTGAATAAATAGATGTGAATTCAGTTAGTACTGATTGGAACGTAGTGTTTATTCGAAGTGTTGGGGAATTTAGGCGAGAAAGACACACGGATGAGTTTGTGGTCGAGATGTATGACTGAGGAGATAGAGAGACTCAGTGAATTTGGTATGGCTTCCGTCAGGTGTTTGAAATGTTACATGTACAATGTCGACAGTTTTACTGTAGATTGGTTGGGGTTCTAGGCGTAGGTTTTTGCTTTACGTGACCAAGATGTGTATTAATACATTTTCTCTTATGTGATTTGATCTGCTCTATTGGACTTGTGGGGGTATGGATGTCTGTTAGTTTTTACTGCTGCTAAAATGCTTATAGTTGGATACTAGCTGACGAACATCTGTCACTTGATGGAAGTCTCCTGGGAATTATGCAGTTTGCTTAGGGAGGTGATAACATAAGTGGATGTTTTGTTGAGACGAGGGATAGTTGGAGTGTTTGATTCCATAATAACCAAGAGACTCGTCGATGGATTTTTTCTTGGGTAGAGAAACACCTTAGTTTGTGCGATGTATGAGTTTGTGTATTTAGTGTTCCAACAGAGCATGAAGAACACGGTTTGTAGAGTAGAATGAATTCATTCTATTCAACGGCTTCTCATCAGCTGCATACAAATTAGAATTACAATTCTCAATGTAATTATCAACAATTGTTTAGCATACTTTATTTTGTAAAGTTTAGATAAATGTCCGAAACGTAACCGAAATCATAATAGTACGAAGAATAGGTATACAAAATACCAAGTATTTTGTTATATCATTCCATGATAGATCAACACCCTTCCGACGTCACCTCAAATCGCATCTATGAATTTATATTTGCTTGCGGTAGCATGTATACAGGAATGATAGATAGAAGGGTGTGTATTAGGATTCTGAACACATTCCTAGGATCGTACGACTGAAAGGGAGTAAAGTGTTTACAAGTGCTATTGTCAGACACCTTTTGGACAGTGGACACGAGATGAATATAAGTAATGCATTCAAAATAATTAACAGACAACAAACACCAAGGTTATTGCGTTTGGCAGAGGTGATCGACATCAAACGTTTCCGACCTGACCTATGTATACAGAAGGGAAGTGTGACTAACCTTCATTTGACATGATGGTCGGATGTTTATCTAATGACGTTCATTAGTTTTGATTTTTAAATTTTCTTTCCAACTCTGTCCCCAACTTCCTTAGCTTTATTATTCTTGTTGGTGTCCACATATTTGTTTTCTTTTATCATGTTGAGTGATTACGCGACCAATTATTAATTTCATTACCTTTACATAGCCTCTTTTACCTTGGTTATGATTACTGGTAATTATAATGCCTACCTTACTCTGAATTATTACAGTCCAACATGTAAATACACATCGATCTTAACTATGTTTATTCATAAATTTTGTATCCGTATTCTTCTTACTATTATGATTTCGGTTACGTTTCGAATATTTGTCTAAACTTCACAAACTAAAGTATTATAAACAAATGTTAATAATTACATTGAGAATTGTAATTCTAATTTGTATGCAGCTGACGAGAAGCCGTTGAATAGAATGAATTCATTTTATCCTGCAAAGCTTGTTGTTCTTGCTCTGTTTAATTGTATCAAGGGATCTGGTTGTATGACATTTAGTGTTTGCTTAGGCTTTTGTGTATGGGAAAGAAGTTGTGATTGACGATTATGGATATGTGGGACTCCTAGATCGTGTGTTTTGTGACTTGGCTTAATTTGTAGTTCTATGTAAATCGGCATCTAAGTATGTGATACGCTAGCTAACATAGCCTACAGTGGTTGTAGAGATGGGAATACGTGCGAGTGGGATAGGGTGTAGCTGAGGAATTTCCCAAGGGTCGTTTTGTTTTCAGGGATGCTTGACACATTGTCTGCAAGCCTACAGGTGAATTTGGCGACCGTGTGCGTAGTGTGTAGTGTCTTGGCCGACCGATGGTGATGGGTTTTTTGCGGAATCGCTGAGTTTTTGTGGTAAGTCGGTGATAATTGTACTTATGTATTGATTGAAATAGGTTTCCTGTGTTCACGATGGTGATCAGTCGTATTTGTTATCAGGAGGTTTTGGTCAGTGTTCGTGGATATTGGTGCGGAAATTCCAGGTTAGTTAGTTAGTTAGTTAGACGGTAAACTCTATTACTGAGTCAGTTCCTAATATTATTGTTGAGTATTTTCATGTTTCCCAGTAATGGTTATATGATGAGTGTATGACACCTCTTATGAATTGTTGATTCGTCTTTCACACTGATCACTATTTTATGCAGTGATTTTTTCTGTTAGTTTCAGATATTCGTGCCGGTTCGTTGGTAAGTGTATACATTTGAACTCCTCCTGATGATGAACTAATTGCGTGTCATATGAATTAAAATTGATCGTATTATTAGTCTGATAAAAGTCCGCTTATATATTTATTGTTCTGTTCAGAATGCATAGAATTATTGTTAAAGTATATTGAGTTTTAATTTGTATTGTTTCCTATTTCAATTGCGAAAGGTTATTTCGAATTGGTTGTTTTCAGCATTCGATTGGCGAATGTTAATGGATGTGGTTTTTCATTTGTTTGTTTGAGTGATTATTTGTTTTGCTATTTTATATATCTTTGTTATTATTATTTTGTAAAATCGATTGAATATGAAGGTTTTCGTGTTCGAATTTTCAAGCTTCTCGTCCATGGTTGAGCTATGGTAGTCAATTTTTGTTTTGGATTTATGCGAACAATGAATTTTGAAACTTACGATTGACATTTCTATATGACGTATTTACTGTGGGGTTTTGGGTTTTTTCTATGAGCTTTTATAATTTGTTTTTTTGAAGTGCATCCGGTGTTTCTACTATTTGTGTTCTCACTCCTTTCACTACTCTTTTGTATTTCCACTCTATTCTGGTTGTTTTAGAAACATAATATATTGTTTTGTTTATTTCAAAGCTTGTTAGTTTTTTTTAATAATTCGTATTTCCTTCTGTCGTCTTTGATTTTGTTGATCATTTTTGCTTATAAGTACTTTTCCGTAATTTTTTCCTGTATTATTTTGTTTCGGTATGACTTCCTACTTCTTCAATTTTTATGTTTTTTTTTTAAAATATATATTTTTTGTGTTTGTTTTATGTTGATGATTTTAGTTGTCTCGTTTATTTACTCAATGTTCTCATTTATGTTATATCACGTTTGTCCTTTTTTGAGAATTTCAGTTCCTCGTTTATTATATTTTTTTTTTGCATTTGAGCTACTCATGTACTTGTTTTTTATATTCAACATTTCATAGTTTGTACCTTTTAATTCTTATGGATATCTATAATGTTTGGGTTAAATTGTTGTTTTAAATTTTTAACGTTTTAAACAGTACCTTAACGTTTTTATCTTACTGGGGTATTTTTGTTGATTATCTGCTTTAATTATTAGTTGCTAAATATTTTATTCATGAAAATTAACTTACCTGTATTATTAATTGAGCAATTATTGGTTTTCCATATGAATTCGGTGTGAATGTTATAATCAATGGTGAATTTGTTATATTGGCTTCATTATCTTTATTCATTGGTGGTAAAATTCCTTCTTTAGGTTCAATCGTGTATTCTGTTTGATTTTTAGGGTATAAGCTTGCGATGAATTTTAATGGTTCACTAAAATTTGTAAAGTAATGATTAGAAATTATACGGACATAGCACTTAATAGTTAAATTGTGTTTGAAATATATTTGTATTAAACCAGTTTATAAATAGATTTATAAGTGTACGTTTAGTACATTATTACTGTTTTTATTGATAAAAACATGAAAGGTTAGCTCTGAGCCAACGTACATCGTGTACTATCAATGTACTCCATCTATCAAACCAAAATGTTTCAGTTCACAACTTTATAGACAGTCGTCGTTGTCCTCGAAAGTCTGTTCACATCTGGCAATGTAGTTCGACACTGTTGTGGTCTTGAAACGTAGGTAGTGTAGATATCTTTTATAGGTTTCGTTCCAATAACATTCAAACAGTAAATTAGCTACTGACCCCTGGGATGGGAAAATCAAAAATGAATATGATCCCGAGACGTGTGAAAAATAATTGTATTGGACTGACAACTTGGTTTTTTCTTATATTAAAAGTTTAGTTTTATGTATATATAAGCGTAGATTCCAGTTATAACCCAGGAAAGGTCTAAATTTCTATAAGAAATTAGTTAACAAACATTCAACAATTATTTCCGTATAACAAGTAAGCTAATCCAGAATATTATTCTACCACATAAGGTTTCTAAGTGATTTTTAAATAGTTTCCATTTATCAGCGAATATTGATAAACATTCCCTCACGAATAAATTCTAGTTTAATATAATCTGTCAAATAATTTGTTGATTGTATGAGTCTGCATTATTTTTATATTCTAGTTAGCGAAAGCTGCTAATTATAAAGTTATTTCCTATTATAAAACTAATCCCTCTTATTACTAATATTATTCTTATAAGTAGGATCTTATCATAATAATTGTTTTGAATATGTATTCTTCACAGTAGCAATTGCATTTTTTAGCGAGTTAGTTTTCTACGGGATGGGGTCACTAACCCCGTGTCCAACCCTCCTCGTTTATCCGGGTTTGGGACCGGCAGTGGTCTCAGAGGAGCTCCAGGCGGTCTATGCTCCATTGGGAGTGACAGGCGTAAGTAAGTACCGTAGCAATAAGCTAAATATTATCACAATAAATGTGTATGTTGTTATGGCTTTGAATAAAATATGATATCTTCATTATTTTACTAGTTAAACTGAATTACTGATGGCATTAAAAAAATTGTTTGGATTACTTACTCGGTTTGACTAGTTAAATGCAACTGAACTTTAACTGGACGACCAATACCTCTATGAGGAATATAAATTACATCATCAATTGGAGGATCTTTTGCTTTAAAAATTAGTCCAAATTTCCAAATCGCTCCTAGAGACGTTTTTATCATTAAATCTGCGCTGCACCTAAAATTTTCGAGGAAACGATGTTATTGCAAGAGAATTTTCTTTCTTTTAAAGAATAGATGTTGTTGATATTACTGGAAATAAGAAAATCTAATTCATAATAGTTTAAAAGGGCAAGTGAATAATAACTAATCTTATTTTAAAATAGTCAATAGATTCAGTTCACTTGTGATTCAAGGTTGAAATAATTAAGTAAAAAGTAATTTGTCAGTTATTTCATTCAGCAGTCTAACTAAATATCACTCCATAATTTTGGCTATTAAATAATATGTATATACATTCTAAAAATAATTACAGCCTTCATGCCACCTTACAGGCACGGTCAGCTTGATATAGATAGTAATATTAAGTGTGATATTAGATTGTTTAAAGTGTTGTAATTCAAAAGTTCGTTTAGGTAGCACTTTTTTAACACGTATTTCAGTAATGAGAAGCGTCAGTCGCGGACTTCTAATTCTTTTTAAGTGGTCATCTTGTTGATATGTCAACGTTACATTCAGTCATTTCTTGTGCCATATAGAATTGATTATAATAATCTACAACTAGAGAAAATACAATGGAAGCGGAGAGCACGGAACAACAAAAACAATAATTACCACAATAGGTCATTCAAGTTATTTTGTAATATACTGTTCGTGTTAGATATTCAAATTTGTTAGGGTTACCAGAGTCGGTGTAAAGTAACAACAGATAAGAAAGTTTACTTTTTTGGTTCAGTAATAAAAACGTTTAAACATTTAAAGTCCTTATAACTTGTGAAGCAAGACATACTCAATTGTCTAAAAACATTTAGAGCATTTGTAGAGATGTTTTTTGTTTTAGTACTACAGTTGCTGTTATTTTCCAAATCTGCTACTTCACGCTTATTTCCTCTGTTGATGTATTAGTGTGAGAAAGTCATTAAGTTATTTAAAACTGGCTAATTGAAATGAGTATATTGTTAACAATTCACGATGGAGTGGTAAAAGGGAAATTAAATAGAGCCACAATTATGAAAAATATTTCTGGTTACATAAAGTGGTTTATATCTAAAAACGTGATTATCATTTATGGCTATATGAATGTTTCATATTCAATAATCAGGTCCGAAAATCGACCTCAACTCAATTATAATGAACAGAACAAACTAATCTACACTTTCAATATCGTCCAGGGTTGTTGTTCTCAATATCGTGTTATTTTTTTATATTTTAATTTCAACATTTCGTTAAAATCAGTTCGTACCTTACAATGTTATTTGCTTTTAATTTTGAGCTTTCGTATTCATAGTTAAGATGAATGCTGATTTGTTCATCCATAATTTCAACCAAAGACAAATAGGTAGGAAAATATATCCAGACATGTGAGTATTTAGACAATTTAGAAGAGAACAATCGATTACTGAATAACATAAATATAAGTTTATTTCTGGATAACTGTAGATAATTTATTACCCATTGTCCTTTTATTACAAATTGCTAGGCACGGATAAGCGGGAATCTTATGTAGTGTGCAAAAGCAGTTACAAAACGTGCATCGAACAAAATCTCTTAATAGGTTGTTAATGAAGAAAATTGAGTGGGGTATTTGTTAACTGTCTCCACAACTAAAGTGACCAATAATATTTTACTTCAAGCACCCAGCACTCTGACTCAGTTTGAATTTGACCTACCTACCTCATTATTGTATGGCTGTTCTCTAATGTTGTTTGATATATATCGTTATACTATACTTTTCTTCTGATTCACTATTAACTTGATGTTCTCGTATCAGTTATATTTGTTTTAGAAACAGATGAATTATTGAAGATCGAGGTTTACTTGTTTTAGCTGTAGTTCTTACTCCTAGACTGATTCAACAGCTTGAGAGAGGTGATTGTTAGAGAACCTATGGGCGAAATAACTTTTACTGTGGTTAATAATTAATTGTTACCGGAAACAAAAGAGGGGATGGTAAACATGTGCATAACAAACACCTAAACAAATAAAAGCTGATCACATTAAACAAAATCCATCAATTTTTTTCACTAAGAGACTTTATTTTTCCTTTCAGAATTTTTGATTATTACTTGGTCTCGCAACTTCCTTCAGTACATCGTATAGTTTGTGATATAAATATTTCTGTTGAAGAGTCCTAGCTAAAGTAATCAGTATGGTGTATTTTGTATTCTCCCCATTCGTAGTTTGTCGTGCAACAAATTACAATAACTAGGTTGTTAGATACCTTTCGAAACACATTAGTCTGATATGTTTTCGTTACAGTCAATGGCTTCATATATGTCATCAACTGCTTGTAAGTCAGTGTTAAATAAAGAAATACATCAGTCGATGTAATTAACAATGTATATACTGAATTCCTAACGAAAGCTAGAAAGTAATCATTTATATAAATAAACGATCACATGAAACTAGACTTTAAATATGTTCGAGATTTATATGTTTGGAAAGTACGTCAAATCTAGCAATGAGATTTCTTAGACAAGAGTTTAGAATCTCATGGAATATATGTGTCCTGTCTCTGAAACTCCACACTAAGGACGTGATCAGCACGGTTAGCGAATCCTGTATTTTGAAGTTCGTGAGTAAATTTCCGTAGTTTCGCTGGTGAACGTATAAAACAAATTTGAAATCGTACTGAACACCTGTGCATCGAATTGAATTCGACAGTTCTTTGAGTGTTGTTGAAGATGATTTTAAGGTTCAAGTAGCTCGACATAGTTAAGCTAAAAATCGTAGACAGGGTTTTTAATGTTACTGAAACTATTCTTAGCGAGTACTAATCTTAATTACAATGAAAGACACTATGATTTAGATATTTCATAGATAGATCTAATGATGGAAACAAACCATACTGTTACCAGTTATGATCAGAGCATATCAATAAGAGACTGCTGATAACTGTATCACTCTTGTATCTAGTCTTTTCTGGACTCACAATTCTTGCAGCTTAAAAAACCTTTCGAACTTGGTTACAAAATGAAAGTGTCGAGACTGTATTTATGGAAGATCTAGTTAGGAGTAACATAAAGATGTGCCAGACATGATATACAAACAGCACTATAGACCATACTGAAGTCCGTTAATTGCTTAAAAAGAGAAAGATTGGGGGAAGATTATTCTACCTTGAAAGCATCTAATAAATTGATTAGAACTTAAAAACTCAAACAATCCATGAACGCTTTAATAAGTTAATGAAGCCTAAATTAACTTCACCTAATGGATAGAAAACCTAGTACATATTTACAATTTGTGATTTCACGTTCACATGTTCTTAAAATTCAAAATATTTTATCATTCTATTAATTTTAGATTGGGGTCATGAACTGATCGATGTTAGACCACCATTCAAACCTGGAAGCACTGGATGGCCGTTTCGTTCTGGGTTGGAATCCCACAAGCGGGATCGTGGATGCGCGCTGCTGAGGGGTCCTACAATAGGACGAAGTGGCCGTCTAGTGCTTTCAGGTTTCAATGGTGGTCTAACATCGATCGGTCCATGATCTCAATCTAAAACTTAATAATTCTCCACAACCCCTGTACTAATCATCCTATTAATAACAATTTCAATAGTTGAAATCATGGATCAACTAAAGCTAGACCACCATGGAAAACCTAGAAGCACTGAACGGCCGTCTCATCCTAGTATGGGACTCCTCAGCAATGCGCATCCACGATCCCGCCCCCCCCCACGAGATTCGAACCCAAGACCTATCAGTCTCGCGCACGAGCGCTTAACCAACTAGACCGCTGAGCTGGCTGGCATCCAACAGTGTTACCGTCTAACTTCAACCAATCCACAAAATTGTGCCACCGTACACCATTGTCTTCAGTGAGCTGATATCTCACAACAGACCTAGTTGAACTCTACTGGTCCTATACTAGAACGAAACGGCTATCCAGTGCTTCTAGGTTTTCCATGGTGGTCTAACTTCAATTGAATCATAATTACAATTACTAGAATTGCCTAAACTCTCCATAAAAATCTTTCTAATAATAAAAATTTATATATTTTGATTATTATAAATTAACTTACTTAAATGAAAGCATCGGTGAAAATATCATACCTAATTTAATTTCTGTTATTTCTAAATCATCCAATTTTTTAATTTGAAATAATTTAATTATTAATGAATTAGTTAAAATTTTATTTAAATCAATTAATTTAATTAATTGTTCATTAGTTTTTTTAATAATTGGTTTTATTATCCATTCTAAATTATTGATTTTTATATTATCCCATATTGAATATTGATTACATAATGATAATAATGATTCATTAATTTTATTATTAAACATTTTTTCATGAAATAACTTTTTATCTTCTTCTGATTGTATAGTTTGTATTTCAATATCTTTTATATTTTCATTATGTGTTAAATGACTTTCTGTATATATAAATGTATTTAATAATCTTAGTGTTATGATAAAATATGATTTTGATCGTACAGTTCCATTAATAATTATTGATGATGTAGTATTATTATTATGATATGGATTATATGATAAAGAAAATTCTTTAGAAGATGGATATGATAATGATTTCATTTCAGGAATACCCTTAAAAAAAAAAGAAAGTAATTATATTTCATTGAAATCATTAGTTCATTGAAACTAGACCACCATGGAAAACCTGGAATCACTGGATGGCCGTTTCGCCCTAGTTTGGGACTTCTCAGCAGTGCGCAGCCACGATCCTGCACCCCGCGGGATTCGAACCAAGGACCTGTCAGTCTCGCACCAGGCGTTTAACCAACTAGACCACTAAGCCGGCATCCATTGGTGTTAATGTCTGACCTCAACCAATCCACGAAATTGCGTGACCATCTTCCATTGTACTGAGGTAGACACCTGTTTCTACCCGACACGGATTAGCTCCATTGGTCACGTGATAGCATTACACTCGATAGATTCGGGTCATACATCAGTTATGTTATCTGAATATGCTAAACAATTGACTGGAACATTGAAATAACACAAACTTTCAATTACAAATACATTCTTTTATCTTGTTTATTTATTTTCTTCATTTTATGCATGCTGTGACATTTTTGATTCATAGCACATACAAAAATTATATGTAGTCTTAATATTCACCGACCGAAGACAATATATAATGAATGAAATATTCTCTTCTGACTTACGTATACACACAATCTGTTATCTTAACACTTCGTTTCACACCACGTGTCTGTAACACGCTGATGTAAATACCTACTTTAAACATTGTTAACGTTGATCGGATGATCTGTTGAGTATACAGTAAACCAGAGAACCATGTATCTATTTATATTCGATAATCTTGTTGTTTGATTATATTTTCCTTGAAAAAGCTTGGACCAGATTGCCAGGCGAAACGTTGAATTTACTTCAAATTCTTTCGCTGAGATTTTACAAATACATTCCACCTCTTTAATGTCTCACATCAACTCGGCTCCCAAATACTGCGAAACTATTTAATCAAATTTAAACGAGAGTTCTTATTTATGTGTAGTTAGGGTTAGTTTGAAGATAATTTTCGTCGTACAAGTTGACATATTAACTAGATAATCATATTGATTAAGACTCTAGCTCTGATTTGAAGTTAGAAATATGTACCACTTTATTCTAACTCAATAATTTGAAGATGTTGTTCTCTTAGATAATGGTAGGTTGTAAGTTTGATCCTATATAGTAGCAGGAAGTCACTGTGATGAGATGAATAAACTTTAAGGTTGTAAAATCGTTCGGTATTTTTTTCTAGTTAAGTTCAATTTTAATAAGTTATTTTCAAAGAATGCTGATAAAAAAGTGCGATTCGTGGAGCTTAGCTATTACTCGCTAATAATTCAAGGAAGTTAATGGATGATCGGATTGATTATCAACTCTGTGAAGTACGAAAGGCTAAGGATTAAAGATACATACTGCATAATGAGATGTGATATTGTGATTATAAAACTTTGTAGATAAAAGTAATGAATGAGTATAGAGTTTGATTATTGGATGAAAGATATATTCAATCAGTAATTCGGTAATTGGAAGATTTAAAAAATGGAAATTACGGTGAAATTACTTTTCAAGTAATTTATAATATCAGAAGGGGTTTTGTGGAGATTTTAGAAATTTCAATATTTGAAATCATCAGTCAATTGAAGCTAGACCACCACTTAGAAGCACTGAACGGCCGTTTCGTCCTAGTGTGGGACTCCTCAGCAGTGCGCATCCACGGTCCCGCCCTCCCCCCGCGAGGTTCGAATAATAACTTAAATAACAAACAAAATATTCAAGATGTTTTTTGTAAATCAAGCATTACGTGATTATTATGCGTTTATCCAGATTACTAAAGTAGCTTAATGATAATTAATGTATTGTATGCTAAAATACTTGATTCTCTCTTAATTTTATTATCAACAATTTTATTCAGTCTTTCTCAAATTTAATTGTCATATTTTTGAATATATTCCTTATTGTTACAATTATAAAACACAAATAGTTCTGCTTATTAAAATTATAGAAATTGTGTACATTCATTATAACTTACTTTAATTGGAATTAGCCAACGTACAGAAGAAGATGATGACTGTATTGATTTACTTGATTTACATTTACCAGAATTTGACTTATGCATAATAACTGTGCAAAGTGCTTCATGTTCTCTCATTTCCAGCGGAGCGAATGATATAGGTATATCAAAAACTGTTTTACTTGACAGACGTATATTTCTATTAGAGAAAGAGAGAGGATAATGGAACACTAATGGATTTAAAACAGTTAACATCTTATTCATATATAGTATGTTAAGGTTTTATATTTCCGTAATAGTAATTCTTACTAATTCACTGATTCATTAATTATTCTGGGGTATAATTATAGCGATTGAACACTCAGGTGCGGAATAACAATTTACTGTTGAATGCAGGATTACAGAGTGCTTTGGTAAAATATGAAAACCATACATTACGTACTTCATTTGCACATCTTTCATCAATTGTCTCTTACAAACTTAATCATTTCTTCACTCCTGTTTTTATTACAATTACTCTCTGTTTATATTCTTGTTCTCTTTAGTTAGATCTTCTCAACCTTCAACTACCAGGGATTCCATTCTGATTAGTGTTACATACTACTTGTCCGTTGACATAAGTAACATACACCACATAATTAGTTTTTGTTAATTGATTCATTTCAATTTTTTATTAATCCAACCAAACTATCATTATCACTGTGTATATATCACTAGTTTGAATACATAGAAATCACTTTTAACGCGAAATTATCAAGTGATTTGTTTTAAACCTGATAACTTTGAAACAATCTGTTTTCCTTTTTGAATAGACAAAACAGTAGTGATCATTTTCCTGAAACTAATGAATTTAAGTATATTGAACTTTGATAATTCCACTTTTAGAGAAATTACTGAAATAAGTTTTTCTCTAACTCAGCGTCCTTTTAGCAGTTTTAAATGTCAACTTATTTTAGAACAGTTAAGTTTACGAGTTATATAATTATGCTACAGTTTTACTATTCAACCATCAAATTTAGAGAATTTGAATGTTAGGACGAATAAACGTAATTGTTGTGATACTTGGCCATGTGATAACACAATCATTCAAATCCGATCTTTCAACAGAGAATCAGATATAAACCTGAACAAGAGTTTATTAACAGACAATATACATCAACCAATGAGTGGAATACAAGATAGTCTCTAATATTTAGTGTAGTTGAATACATGTCTTCAACTATCGAAGCATGGTGCACTATGACTGGGCATATGAATAACATTACCGAAATTATCTACGTGAACTACACATTGCAATCATTTCATGTATCGACTTAGAAGAATTTTCTGACTGTCTTCTGCAAATTTAGTTGTCCTACGCAAAAAATGTTTGTAAAATGGTAAAGTTTACAGTTACGCTTAAGCTAATGATAATTATGAGATTTAGTAGCCATTGTAAGTCAGATGCATGAAAACAATCAAAAGTAATATAAGAAAGCTAGTATTTTATTAAAAATACTTAAAAACAGTCAACGAATAGGTTATTATATCACAGAGTTATAAAGGGAACAGTTTCAAGATAATACTAACTTTTGTAAAGCAAATTGCATCGCATTGTTAAATGAAATTCAAATTAATACATGTTTACATTCATCTAAACTTGATGAGATATCGAGTTTTATCTGTTTAAACTGGTAGAAATGATAGTTTACCCATAGTGTGTGAGGGATCTCTGTTATATTTGGTCGTCGCTGATTGTTGTGCCGGAAAAAACGCTGATCACTTATACTCGGAATGAGGGACCTCGGCAATTCCCACAACGCGAAAGTAAGAACACAAGACTGGTATAAGTGAAGATGTATTAGCCCAAACACTATGACAACGACGAATCGAATATAGTCTAAAATACACTGGTTTATATATTGATTGTACACCCATTTTGATTAATAATTAGGATTACATCACATACTCAGTTATAAAAAATCACTTACTGAGCATAGTTCATGTCAAGTGAATGCAAGAATATCGTATACAGGAGAAAATATTATACTGGGAAAACAATCAAATACTACACTGAATGATCCTCATGTTGAATCAAAACGGATGTAATGTTGAACATAACTCATAATGAGTAATTCAATCGAAAATTGACTTTTTTTCCATCATATCAAGCAATAATTAATCTACTGGGTATAACTCGGGTCCTAACAATCTCGATGCTCAATTTTACAGAAAGTGTTCTGTAATCTTTAAGGTTTGATTGTTATTCACAGGCATAAGTCAGGTAACACACCTAAACAGAATCATATATAACACGTGACTGTTAGGTATTTTGGCCAGATCACACAACATAGGAAAAAAGTTGTTTTTTGAAATCACATTTTATTTCTCTCAATGATCTATTAAACATACAGTTATCATGATATGACTACTGAATGTGTTGTCCTAATATATTCATTTTGGAGCGGCAGTATAATATTTTAGCTAACTAGCATACAGTAACATGCTTTCAGTTTCATTTCTTAATGTTCAAATAACATTAATTTAGATCTTGAAAGTGGATAGTTTAACAGAGGGAGCGTTTTCATTGATAACAATAATAGATTTACATGAAATTTCCAGAATGTAGTACAGTATGGAAGTAAAATATAAAAAAAATTAGAATGGTATTGAATCCATGTCCCCGTATTACTTTTACTTAAAGAAAAAACGGTGAACCACTACAATTTCTATGACGCAAAGTCAGCACACGAAAGACTCTTTCTTTACTCCAAAACACGAAAACCCTAATCGAAAATACACTCGTTTATGTAGTGATTTCTAAACTTGATTGTTAATTGAAAAAAGAAACAAAGAAAATCACATTAAAAATGAAATCAATCTTAGGTTGAGTAAATTATTACACTGAAAGTAGAACAAACATTATTATGAGCAGTTATCAAACAGAATTAAAGAAGGGAAGTGATGTTCAGCAACAGTCAAACGCCTTTTTTTACTCCGACATATCAAATAGTCAAACTGTAATCAAACGAGTTTGGGAAATGTTCATATTTTAGAAGGACATTAATGAAATTAGTGTATTAGGTGATGCTATACAGCTCCTACAATATTCAGGTTTGTATTCTTTTATATGTACTTTTGATTGTATACAAGACTATTTTGTGCTGGTTTTTAAGGTATACTCATTTTTCTGCAAACCTTGGTTAGCGAAATGTTTGATTAGAAATCTAATTGTATCGTACTTAGTCTTTCAAACTGGTAAGTATCCAATAAGACATCCTCATTATATATTTCTTAATGAAAGATAGTGTTGAGTAGAAATTAATTCGTTATAGCGTTTATCAACTGTATGTAATAATCAGAGCCAAACTATGACAGTTCTAGACATATTTCATTTACAAGTAAGGTGTAACTATCTGATCATTCAGTTATTCACAAAATCTAAAACTTTTTCAGATTTGTTTATCTCGTACCGCTTGTCTTACTTTAGACTCACTTATTATTAATCGTAATTTGTTAATCACTTTTTATTCAATTACAAATTCGATGTCATCAAGAAACTTCCATCAAAATAAACCTATTAATTACTTGTGTATAGATCATAAACTAAATGTTTTATTCCATACAACTAATCATCAAGTCATTCACAATACAATAAGTAATTTGTCACTTAAGATAAATTGCGCCGACGATATTTTTAATTATCCTTAAAACGAAATGAATCTTATTTTATAAACAGTTTAGTTTAATCACTAAGTACTATCATAGAAAACTATGTCAAGTTATGAAAACTATATTTGAAATAATCTCGGTGATTGAAATATTAAATAATTCCAATGTTTCGTCCAGTAAACGTGTCTGGACTTCTTCAGGGTAATAATCATAATCAAAATCATCAAAGAAATATATAACGTTTTAACAATCAAATCTATTCTTTGTTAATCCAATCATACAGTTTATGTGGAAGAAATATTCAGACAATTGAATGTAAGGTTGAAGGAACACAAACAGTATTTGAAAAATGTTCTCAAATCCTCAGTCAACCTAAGGAAACTTGAGAATAAGTCTGTGATAGCGTTACATACGTTGGAAAAAGGACACAAACCCAATTTCGAAGGGACCAAAATACTTCAGAAAGGTTTGAACACTCAGAAAGTAAGACATAGCAGAAGCGCTATATATATGAGCAAATAAGAACAGCCTGAACCGAAAGTTTGGTATTCAACTATCTACTACTTGACAAATATTCGTTGACGAGTAATTGGACCCTTTCTTTATTCAGCCTGTTTATTTTACATGCATCGTTATTTTGACTGAAATTAATGTTAATTATTTCTAGCAATACCATTTTGATTTGATGATTCTCATCTTTCCTTGCACTTCAATGTATCAGGAACAATTTTTTTTCAACCTTCAATTTACACTTTTATTTTTCCTTCATAGAACACTGAATATCATTCATTAGTAACTCAATCTTACAAATACATGCACACACAATTCGTTCAGTCATTTATTTTCACATAGTGAACTTTCCACATATATCGCATTTAACTTACGCACGTTATCCTATTCACTAAAAATCAACATTCAAATATGATTAGATTAGCACAGTGTAGATTTGATCTGATTTGATTGTTAAACCCTATATATATTTTTGGTGATTTTGATTATTATTATTATTATTACCCTGAAGAAGTCCAGACATGTTTACTGGACGAAACGTTGGAATTATTTTAAATTTCAATCACCGAGATTATTTCAAATATAATTTTCACATACAATGACTTCTCTATACTCAGGGCCAATTATTGTCAAACTAATCGTTCTAATTTTAACGAATATTCGTATATGTCAACTCGGTTTTCAAGTGATGACTTTATATAACAATTTAAGTCTTCACTCTTTTTTAATGGTCATCGAAGACAACCTTTGATTGAATATTACACTTGTCACCAACGATAGATGAAAAGCAGTAAATATAGCTTTATTCTATGACACATTAGTTAAACCTGACCTTAATATTGAAAAATGCAACTATATGATGAGTTAGCAGTATGGGTCTTATGAAGATTGTTGAATGTTATTGTGATTAAGAAATAACTTGTGTTAGACAATCACTGAAAACATTGAATAGCCAGATAGCCGTTTGTCCCAGTATGAGACATACACTCGGGTAGTCTTATTTTAGGATAAAACATATGTCTAGGGTTCTCGGGTTTTGAATGGTTCTTTAACTTGGACCAGTTCATAGTCTAAATAGAATGAGTTATTGATTATTTTAGTATACAAATCCATCATTTATTTAGATTTATTTGAGACTAATAATTATCGCATATGTGATATACGTAAACTAAAAGAATCAAATACTTTCTCACTTTTTCTCTTTTATTAAAAGTTGAAAAGCTGAATAGATATTTGTATTGCCTGGATTAGTTGATAAACTCTTACTATACGGTTGATTATTTTCATCACAATTACATTCATTTGGTTCCATTAGTTGATCAATGAACTCTTCATCGTTATTGTTATGATTATCAACTGAAGATGAGTTGATTGATTTATTGTCCGACTGATTTTTAAGTATAGAATTACGTGTATCTTCCAAATGCTTGAATAGACCAGATAAAGTGGTTTCACATAAACTTATGTCCAATACAGTGTCATATTTGAACGGATTTGTAATCGGCACTATTAATGTGGTGGCTGAACCAATCATAACTGATACACTGACAGGATCTCTTGGTTGTGGTGCAACACCATTACCATGCAAATTAAAACACCATTCTGTTAACTAAATATTATAAAGAAAAAGAATATTGAAAAATTGACCAAAGAATTATCCACAGAGAAACAAAATCAGACAGATACCTATTTTTTATAATCAGAATTAAAGCAAAATTCTTTTTGCGGGATAATTTCTTCGAAGTCCTATCATAGTGAGTAGGTCAGTGGAATAATAGCCGTAGCAAATTTAGAAATAAAGTCAGATCATGAGGTGTATTTTATAAATGACTACACCTTTAGAGTTGCTGCTATCTTACTGGCTGAAATCTCTCGATACTAGTAGTAAGGTTTACGAAGTATGAAACCAACTCTAAAACACCGAAAACTATCATAACAAAGTTTTATGTGACTGGCTTCAAGCTCCTGTATGGTAGGCCCTACGAACACATTTCTATGTTAATCAAACTACCAAAAATATTCCAGTCTTCTAGTCACCTTCTCAAAGAAAAAGTCTAATTTTGACGGCACTGATGGTCTAGAAGTGACAATGATCCGAATATCCCTAGCAGTAATCCAGTTCACCATATCAGCCTTTCTCCTTGCCCAGATTTTTATATCTGAAATTATTGTAATACAAGGGTTTGAACTTACGAAATACTACAAATGGTTTCTTCAGACAACATCCCAAACTACAGGTTATACAGAAGATTTCAAAGTCTCATAACACAGGAAACAGCTGTGTCTATCTACATGACCTCATCTAACCAGTTTGGTAAACTAACTTATACCATCTTTTGGGAATCTAGATACTAAGGTAAATTTTCGTTGTCTTACAAGCGTAGGCGTAGGGCTAAGTTTCAAATCAGAACTTGATTTTAATCTACCGTTTCTTGAGTGCTGTTTCATTTAATGGGACAGTTAGAATTCGGCGTTGTTTATACTTCCTTTCTGAAGCAAAATGTTTTTCATCAAAAGTTATTCAAGATCTTACAAAGTCCTAGGCTTTCATATCTAGTTAGTGTGGCAGTCTTCTTCAGATCCCATGCAATTGCTTTAAGTAGAAAAAGATACTTATTATGGCCCTGTAATATCTAAGGTCAGATAATTGGGACTGTTTGTTTAATCTATGCCCTGATACCTATTTAGCAAATCGGAACAACAGGCACAAAGAGAGAGAAATACTTTAATCTAGCAAGCTCCAACATAGATAGATCAAGTCTTCAGTTATTCATGGAGAGATTTATTAAGAGATTATGGTTCTTTCTTGATCAAATTAGAGCTTCAATTATAACTTAGTGGGAGTTCATCTGAATCTTCGATTTATTAATCTCATAATGGCAATTTATCTCGGAAATACAAATGTCAATGCTATATTTAATAAGCTAACGAGATCTTTAGTGCAGCATGAAGAGGATTTTCATTTTAAGATAGCATAGAATGATGTCCAGTTCGCTACAGTAACATTCATTGATAACATTCGGCTAAAAATAAGGAAACGCTAGTGTGGAGGTTTCAAACTAGCTTTGAGTTTAATAATTTCCTTATCAATCATGTACTTAATTTATAACTGATAAATATACTAAGAATTCTATATATATAGTGATCTGTTAAGTACTCGGATACAGCCGGCAGGAAATCTTAGACATAAGTCCCATTATTGTTTCCACTCTTCAACAAAGAATATTTATAATCTTCAGGGAACTGATGCCATCTATAAGATTCAAATCGGAGTCATTCAGCTTCTGAGTCTGAAGCGTAATCACTGAACTATTTGTTCCATGACTTAACTGCTGTAGTACCCATGTACTTGCAATTTGCTGATCGCTGTATGGCAACCAAAGTTATTTTTATCTGGTTTTTAGTACTGACAACGTTCTGTTGATCTGGTTGCATTGTGGCCTCTACTTTAAGCGACTTGACATCATATGCTCTATGATTTGATGTTTGGCCACATTGCAATTGAATTGACAAAATGCTTGATAAACATGAACTTGTTTACAACGCAGTGATTGATTAATATACAAAATAAAACGAATACCAGATTTTTTTGAAGAAAAAAATGTAAGTCGAACTTAAAAGTGATTTCATTGAACATACTTTTTCTGAATAAAACACAATTGATCCTTCATGTTCCTCTTTACCAATAGCACATGGAGTGAATTTCAATCCAAGATATAATTTAGATTTTGGTTTTAATTTAATTATTCTTTCTGTAGTATGTAAACCGGTACTTCGATTTGTTAATAACATACGTGAAGAATTATTTTCCATTTCATTTATATCTAATATATCATTATCAGAATATTGACATAATGTTGACATCTGTAAGTGTGAATGATGTTGTTCATCTAATTCTGTAGTTAATGATGGTGATAAACAAGCAAGTTGTTTAGCTGATGTTGATAATTGTAATTTGAAAACATCTGAATTAAATATTTTTGGTTTTAAAATGTACAGCTCTTCTGTTGGATTATCTAATAATATTTTGGTGATTTTTGAGCTATAAAATTTTAATAAAATAAAACAAACAATACTTTGAGTAAATTTAATAAATCATAATTCAGTGTAGGTAAAGTTAATTTTGACACAACACATTAATTCAATACAGGTTTATACAATCAACTTAAAGGGGTTTTATAGAAATTTTAAAAATTTCAATAGTTGAAATCATGAGTCAATTGAAGCTAGACCACCATGGAAAGCCTGGAAGTACTAGACGGCCGTTTCGTCCTAGTATGGGACTCCTCAGCGGTGCGCATCTACGATCCCGCACCCCGTGACATTCGAACCCAGGACCTATCAGTCTTGCGCCAGACGCTTAACCAACTAGACCACTGAGCTGGCCGACAGCCAACGGTGTTAATGTCTAACGTCAACCACTTCATGAAGTTGCGCCACCGTACGCCATTGTCTTCAGTGAGTTGATATCTCGCAACAGACTTGGTTTGAATCCCACAGGGTATGGGACCGTGGATGCGCACTGCTGAGGAGTCCCATACTAGGACGAAACGGCCGTCCAGTGCTTTCAGGTTTTCCATGGTGGTCTGGCTTCAACTGACTCATGATTTCAATCAGTGAAATTTCATTTTTATTGTTATATAAATATTTTTCAGAATAAAACGATAGAAGTTACTCTATTATAGATTGAAGGTCCTGGGTTCCAGTCCCGTATGTGGGACTATGGATGCGCACTGATGATGAGTCCCATACTAGGACAAAACAACTATCCCGTGCCTCCATATTTTGAGTATTGATTTAACATTAGTCAGTCTATGATCTCAAAAAATTAAATAGAAATACTTTTATTACGTTCTTTGTTGTTTTTTTCTCATTAATAGGTACGTGCATTCAAATATTACTGAATGGTGTAGACCAAAAACTTATCAGAGTTTATATATTTATGTGATAATGGTGTTTGGTTATAGAGATGAACTAGTGAAAGATGCTGTATCTGAATGTGAATATTAAACATATCCTCAACTTAGAATTTCAGTATAATACTTAGTGAGTTTTATTGTTATGTATAACTCCATGAGCTGATTATGACTGACGAAATATGTATCCTTGATAACTTCATTTAAACTCTTGAGACATTATTACAACATAGTAGTCAGAATTTCATACGATTAGCATTGTGATTGTTACAACTCATGGAAGGGCCCACCGGCATTCTCCGTCGAACTCTGTCCTAGGCCATAACATCGACTAAAATTTATTGAGTTTTATAAACATTGAAAACTTATCAGTTGTTTTATTTTTATTCAAAACCTATAAACTGATATCATCCAAGAAGTTATAAACCATTTGCAAGATAAGAATGGTGACTGATATTTACGAAATTATGTAGTAAATAAATCATTAGAATAGCTATGTAACATAGTAAACATGCAAAAAATAATAGAGTAATGATTATCTATTTCGAATTGATTACCTTCCTAATTCAGCTTCTATAATTGGTACGTTGACAGCTTCTGGTTTGATGGCTTTTATTATTAATTCAATCCAAAATTCCCCACAGTTTGAATTGTAAAAAATGACACTAGATAAAAAAGAAATAGAATAATACATTAAGACAAACGGTTGTTTTGTTTCTGTAAATTGTATCTTATTAGTAATGATCAATTGTTGATACGTTGAGAATAATTACACATCTTACAAATAGTCATAAGAATTCACATTTTTCACATTTTAATACAGAAGAGTAATAACCGAATGATCTTAATCAGTATGAAAGTTGAGCGAGCAGTGAAGAATATGGAACCCTGAAAGTTATTCTTTGTAAATTCAATACATGTATAAATTAACGTGTATATATGTAACTGATTTGTGGTGTTTTCATATTGTCCCAATTCTATATGTTTATTTAACTTATACTACTGGTAAAATATATAGTAACATCTATTATTACAGTAAATTATTTATAAACTCGTTATTTAGATTTATGTCATAAATATCCTGGTTCGACACATATTGAGATTTGTTATTTGTGATGAATTATAGTTTTTTAATTTATCTAATTAGTTACATTGGTTTTGAAGTCTAAACTAAGAAAGATATTCAACTAACTTTCTAGTATTTGAACTGGTAGATTAAGAATAAGTGAGTATTTCGAACGGGCAGTCGAAAGTTAGAATATTCAGTAGCTGTTTTAGTGAACTTATATTTTGTGCATGTAAGCAAAAATCTATAGTATTATGATCTTAACTATCAGAAGAAGCTGTCCTGAAATTTAGTGTTTTAAATTGTTCAGTGTTTAGATCATTGATAATTAGAACACTTTGTTGACATTTGAAAACAATTGTTCAAGTACTGATAAACTGATGAACTTACGTTGAATTACTAGTTCCAATAATAGATGGAATACAATTCAGTTGATAAATTGATGAAAGTTTTCCAGAATTGTCAACAGAAGTTACACAATGTGTTTTCGGACCAATTAAACATTTATCTTCAATAATTACATCAAATTCAATTGTTTGACTATTTTTAAATAATTCTGATTGTATAGTAAATGGCAATTCAACTGTTTTGGAACTAAGACATGGACAGATAATTTCAATTTGTTTAATAGGTGGGCCTTTAAAAAAATAAAAATAATGAGCATAATTAATCGATTATTGTTTTATAGTGATAAGCTTGATGATACAAACTAGACAACTAAGATTGGAAATATCACATGAACAAACAAACTTTGTCTCTATTTTACTTTAATCGAAAACTGCTGTCAGGAATTTAGTTTCTAAACAGAACCAACTGTTTTTATTATATAGAAAAATGTATCTACTAATCACTCTAGTTTCACGACAACCTCAGTCATTCAGCTACAACGTAGGATCAGGCACATATATGTACCGGTCCAAGTTGCCATATCTCATTAGCAAAACATGATGAACACCGAATTCATAGAAGTAGTTAATTCAATATTGGTAACATATAAAAGAAAGAATGCATATAAGGATATAATACAGGAATAAAGAATTAGTTGGCAGAAAGAAAGATATAAAACAGTTATAATCTCAAAGTTTAAGGGAAGACAGAGAGTGTGTACACCGACGCCATTGTGATCGATTCTGGGCCATATCACACAGTCTCTAACCAATGGTTACGATAGTCACGCGGACCCCAGCCAAGTAGTCTACATCTACCAACATGGCTCAAACTAGAAGTTAGTGGCTTCAGGGGCTGGTGCCACGTTTTGGTTTAGTGCCCCCTAACATTCTTCCAGTCATCCCCAACACACCAATCTAATTGGTAATTCATATGAAATTACATCATACTCATCTCATTTGTAGCCATAAAAGTGATAATGAATTTCAACTTAATTAATGTCATCATTATGATAGAAATTATTTTATATACAAAACTTCACTTCATAAATCAAGTTATACAGGATAATTTATACTGTTGTGCAATGTATAATACGTTCATTTTCTGATTAGTCACCAATAATAAGTTATTTTCGTATTTTGTTATTAGACTATCAGTAATTCTTGTAATATTTGATACATTAGGTTGATAGTAGTTTACACTAACTTCAGACCAGTTTTATTCTTATGAAAGTATTATACCATTCATTAGTAATGGTTATATGTAAATATTATTAATTATGATTAACTGAAGAGAACGTAACCACATTAAAAAGGAATATGAAAATAATGTGCTAATTTTAAAATTTGATAATACTTATTGCAAATCATGAAGAGTTTAAGTTTAATCACTGGTGTAATTGTGGATGAGAACTACTGAGGATGAGAATGTTACTGAATGTTCCCTAGTTTTAAATAATTATCCGGTTTGAATATGTTAGAGATGTAAGCTATCTTAAGCAGAATAAGTTTCTGTAGTCCTTTTATTAATACATTACTATAAAAACTCTGTTAATCTATTAGTGATAATTCTGTTGAAAAGATCAATTTCTCCGGAAGGATAAACATATCAGAGGAAAAAGTATGAAAGAAAATGAGTAGAAAAATTTAATTTGATAGGCTTATTTCAGTGGAGATCAGAGGTTATTACAACTTCAGCTGAATTATGAATGGTTTATGTTTTATGTTCTTTTCAGATCGTCTTTATAGCACAGTGAAATATCTGTTAACACTGATGACTTTAACATGTTTAACATGTTACATTAACCGTTTACTTTATGATTTTTTTTGAAATCACTGGCTGTTAGACGTAAATGTTAACTAAATATATTGTGATGTTTTTTATAATCATCATCATAGCCAAATAGCATTCAATGATCTTGGTTTTCAATAATATTTTTAACTTGGGTTGATCCGGCGGCCTGCTTGAATATCTGGGCTACCTGTTCCACCGATCTAGATATTTCATCAAGTTATCTGTTTTGTTGTTTGTTTTAGCACATCACTATGTCTATTGTGCGCACAACCTATTCAGGCGCGTTTATGAAAAGTTTACAACCTTTCGCTATACGGGATACAAATAGGTACAATCAGCGACATCATGGTTGCTGGCAATATGCATTGAAACAAATGATCAGTAATCAAATGTGGATTACCGAACTTCTAACATCTAACTGGTCATCATTCAAAATTTATCGTCACAATCGATCAAGGTATAAGAAAAGGAAACTTGTAGAAATACTTTATGCTGAGAATTCTATGTTGTACCAAAAATATAATGTTGAATAAAGCTTCTGATAATAATAATAATAATCCTTAATGAGAAACGTTTTTTAAAATTTCTAGTCTGATTCAGATACAACTTTAAACAGAAAGAGAATGTGAAGGTGATTTTCTTTATGAGTCGATAGCAGATAGGGCTTCATTAACAATAAGACTGAAGAACTGTTTCACTTTGTATTAGGGAGTTATAAACTTGTACAAGATCAAACTTGGAGATTCATATTCATATGATGAGCAGTTGATCTATAAATCATCTAATCGAATTATAATGGTCTATATTTTCATCTCTACAACAAACTACATTTCTTTGTCATTGTGTTAAAAATTAACTTCAAATAATACAAAAGTATCTGATTTATTACCAATCAAGGTGTTATATCCCGATAAGAATAATGAATGGTAACTTTTGGGATCCGTTTATGGACCAATACTATGAGTATATTTTTATCGTATAATTGTTATGTAACTAAACTGTCCATATTCATGTCCCTCTTATTATAAGCTTTAATTTGACACATAGACTATTACTATACGATTTACCATTCTTGAGTTATGGCCTGTCTATTAATTACTATCTCCCTTATTCACAGCCATTTTGGGTCAAATATTGTACACATGTTATTTTCTATTTTATGGTACGTTGTGGTCTGTTTGATTGGTATATAAGCCCCGTATGTTTGAAATAAATGATTCATACTGCAGAGGCTGAGATTGGTGTTCTGGACTCAACTGGTTGGGCCAGACAAGGAAGCAAGGCCAATCAGGACTCTAGGCTGATCACACGTGTTTATGTGTCACTGGTTCAATCGATAATTCGCTGCTCTCTAATTGGCGGTATTGTTGCGTCATCCAACATACAGGGCACACAGGTTCACAAGTTATAACACAAGGTATGTAAATATTTAAAGCGAGTTTCTAATTTATTCGTTAACTCATCATAAAAATAATCAATTACCTGGTTTAATATTAATTTCTACTTCATACCAAAGTCGATAAACTGGATTCGAATTTTCATCCAATTCACTTATTGTTTTTGATGCTTCACTAGTTTGATTAACCTTTGGTGACATTTCTTCATCATTTTCATCATCACTATCCGAACTGAGTAAACCAAAGTAGAATAACATAATAATAAGAAGGAAGGAAATAATTTACAAACTAATTAATCATCTGTTATCAGTAACCACTGTGATACTCCTTAGATTTTAGAGAGTTGATCTAATCCTATAGATCGAATTGTAATATGGTCTCTGCACTGAATAACTTGACACTACAATCAGTCATTCCTAAGTTAAGAAGAATGTGTTAAGTATGTGCGTCGGTTCAAGTCTCTACTCTAAATTATCACACCGAAATAAAATCATCAAGATAAATCCCAGAGTAGTATAAGTAGTAACAGCATCAATAGTGGCAGAAAACATATAAAATGTGATTAGACAAAAGAATGTAGGTTCGTAGATTAGAAGAATATAAAATAATTTTAGAACTCAAAATCTCAGGAATGACAAATAGTAAACGAAGCTCCCTTAGTTGCTGTACATCTTATTAAATTTTAGCTAGTTTGAAATAAATTTGCAGGGATTCATGGATTTTGATATCGTGTCAATTAGTATGCATCGCATCTGTAATACTAGGTGATATGAGTTTTTTAATTAACAGGGAGTATCAGTCCTTTCAAGATTTCGGACATATGTTACTGAAGGGTACAAGTGACAAGAAACCTATATTCAGAGTTTTTTATCGATTGTTTTACACAGCAATTAATTGAGAATTGAACGAAAATATTTAAATGGTATTTGTAGGATTTCTTATTCCAATGAGTTATTCAAAATGGCTTGTTTTCATTAAAGCCTTGGAACTTACTTATTCCTCGGAGTATCTGCAACAAACACTATAATACCGCGAAAAGATCCTCGTCTTGACACAGAAACTTGAAATTTACATTCATCGGTGCGACCAGACATAACTTCAATACAATTAATATATTTCTGATTGTTTGGCATCCATTCAATAAGACCCTTAGGTAAATTTGTTTGCAGTCGGAAACACTGCATTATTGAAGTTGAGTTGGGAACTTTAAGCGTGAAAGTTTGTAAATGTGATTGTTTCGAAACTTTGCATATTTCATCATTTATATCACAAGTATTAATTGTAAATTCGAGATTAATTTTTCCAAGTGATAGTGGTTTCAATACAATCCCATTTAAGTGATATTCTAATTGACTTCCATCAGTTATATTTCGAAGAACAAGTTTAGTCTGTTAATAGGATGAAAAATGAAATGTTTACTACAAAGCAGAATGATTTTATGAATAATACTTACTGTTCAAAGATAGTTTTTCTATGAAAGTTGGAGGACCATTGGAAACCAAAATTATTTGGTTTTAGTTTAAGGACCCACCATCGATATGCATTACTAACCAAGACGAAAGAAATTCGAGATCTTCTAGCCTTGGAGAAAGTATTCCACTCTAGGACTAACCTGTTAGAACTTAGAGGTCTACAGTTTAAGCTTCATTCAACTTTCACCGTAGCATGATCTCTACCTAGTGTTGTCTATAAGTTATTTTCATATTCCATACTTGGTTTTTTCACAGATAATGGCTTCCCAATATAGTGTTGGGAATGTATACAGAAGCTAGTTATTGGCAAGTAAATCAACATTCATAAGTTCATTGGCTTTGAGGATATTTTGCATTCTTTGAAGAGGTCGTCTATCGACTTCAAAAGAAATTATTGATTGCATAATCCAGGTTAGCTTTCTTTGGTAAACTCACTTATTTACATATATTATTGTATCCTATTTCAGTGCCTTCATTTAAACCTAATTTACCTTTACTGAGTTAAATAAACCAGAATGTGTAGGTAATTGAAACAAAAACCTGTAGGTAAGTATCTGGTGGTTAATGTTTACACTTAAACCAGACATTAGTTAAACATAGCATCTTACACAATAGATAGCATAGAATAAAGCAAGCAGTTTAATGAATGTAGCTTTTAGTTCTGCTTAATTCTATTTGTATAAGTTCTCATCGTGAAACCAAAGAAGATAATATGATGTGGACGTTTTAAGGATGTGTTAATAATGTTTTGATTTTTGCCTGACTAAAATGAAGATAGTGGGTCTTAAAACGAACAATGTTATTCCAGACATCATTAGGAAAGAGTAAATAAGTAACTCAGTAAATTGGTTATACTTATTGGTTATAGCAGTTCATTTTGTTGACACTGCAAATTGTGTTCATACGTTAAATTACTGACTAATTAATCCCTAGAGCTACCTATTTTGATCTATGCGTTCGGATATAATTGTGATTCATGTTTCGAGTCAAATAAATCTTTGTTTATCATCTTTGATTTCCCTCGTGAATTGAGCTACAGCAGTGTCTTTGTTCAGTTATATCAAGTGAACACTGGGATAAATTTGAAATATTTCTCTGACGATTGACCCAGTAAAGTTACTGCTCGAGTTACAGCAGAAACGACTTAGAAACTGGCATCAGACGTTAACCGCGATATTGACCACAAAGTTCTTTCAGTCTTCAATCGGTAATATTTTAACAAAAGCGAATCATGTTTTAAAGTCAGTTTTCAATTCGACTCCAATCTCAGTGCTTGATACAGTAGAAAGGAAGATTTATTTAAGATTTAATTGGCTGAACACCTAGTTGTTTTATAGTTCGTGCTCTCCTCTGAGAGTTGATGTCAAGTGAAGTTATCAATTGATGCAGTTTCGTCTTGTCGAAAACTTGCGCTGATATTACTTTCATAGAAACGTTTTTGACGACCACCTGTTAATTTTCGTTGTTTGCTACCCATGAGTGAATTCCTTACATCTGTATTAGAGCCATTCCCACTTGATGTCTATGATCAATACTGATGGTCTAAAAATATTTTAAGACCACTCATCACGAAAAGTTTTCATGCAATTAATCCGTGTTATTTTGATTTCTTAGGACATAAGAGACTTAGGAATTTAAAGTTCATTGGATTTAATTATTGAGTCTTTGAGAACATAATACAGAAATCTTTCATTTAAATCCTATTCCAAACTGCTATGTATTAGGTAAATTATGAGTAAAGTCAGGTGTATTTATAAGATAAGTATAAACGAGCAGTAACTTACTTGACTTTCGGCTTCTCTTCTAGGTAAATATGTTATAGAATATTGAACTGTTGTATTCGATGGAACATTTATGATGGATGGCCCAGTAAACCATATTGGATTACCAATAAACTGTGAAGATAGTTCCCAATCATATGCTGTTTTATTGACAATCGGTATTGGTTGAGTAATTGGATGATTTAGTGGTGATGTGAAAGTTAAAACCATTTTTTCATTACCAGGTAAAGCTACACATTCAATACGATAGAGTCGTATATCATCTGGACCTTGAATTACCAGTTTAGCTGAAGTTAAACCGGGTTTATCAGCAAAGATTTTGAGAGGAAGAGGAAATGTTTCATCGGAATCTGTAAGTAGAAATAAGAGATCATTAATATTAGTGTTTCTTAAACTGTTGTTTCATTTTAACAAATGTAGGACTGAAAAACAACCGAATTTCATCCCCAATTTAAATATCGCCATGTTTATTCTGCTTGAACAACAATTGTACATTTATAGTGTAATATTCATTTTTGTCTTGGTAAAATGATGTTTTCGGTTTAATTTTACAGGCGTGTTAGAAAAATACCTTGAAGTACCGAAAGTATATTGAGGAAAGATAGGCCTGAAATCCCCTCAAAATACTGATAGTTAACAAAAGTCTCAAGCTTATTAAATGTCCAATTATCAGATGGATAACTAGATTAGTTAAATTCTATTTACGAATAAATAGTCCCTCTGATAAATTTAGATAATGCAAAGAGACGATATAGTTTATCAAACGATAGGATACGAATGAGGACAATACATTTAGAACAGCCTAATAGCACATTTAATTGTTAAAATTATTGGACGGGTAACAAAAATGAAAATAGACAATCTCTAACATAAGTAAACATAGGTTTAATAAAAGTACAAATTATTTTTGAGGACGTGAGCTTTCGTCTGGCTAAAGTTTCAACAAACTTAAGTATTTTCACTAGACAACTTTTAAACAAAACTACAAATGTTGAGTTGAAAATAATTTTATTACCTTATATAAACTGTGTGAGATACTGAGTATTGATATCCCAGATAACTCGATTTGTGGAAACATATGACGATGTGATGGAAATTATCTCTCGATTATGAAGAAATATCAGTATAGGGTTGTGGAGATTGTTTAGTTTCCCTAAAATCATGAACCGATCAATGCTAGACCACCATTCAAAACATGGAAGTATTGGACGGCCAATTCATCTAAGCACCATACTCCTATCCAGTGTGCAACCACAACTCAGAACATGGGAATCAAACCAAGGACCTTTAGTTTCGTGTGAAAATGCTCAACTTGTAAACTACTGAGTATGCATTTGACAGTATTAATGTCTAACTTTGATCAATGCACAATATTGCGCGATCATTCACCATTGTCTTCGGTGGCCAACTGCCCTACACCTGACACGGTTAAACTTCACTGGTCACGGGTGCTCGCTAGAAAATATCTTCCAAAAACTACTTGAACTAATAATAATCACTTGTTTACTAGTGATCTGATTCCATATGTATTTTCAAAGTCCTGCTAAGAGATTATGATGTGTGAACTGAACCAAGTAATAGGTGATCTCGAGTGAGTTTCGCATAATCTTGCTTAATAACTTTATTCAGTTGAATATGCGAAACATTGTACTTCGACTCAATAGTTAGGAAGTACTGTGTTCTCTGTAAAACACTTAGATCACGAGTCCGAATCCATTTTTACGGTTGTAGAGAAACACTACTGGAGTATACAAACTCAAAGCGAAACAACTGTTCATTGCTTTCTTATTTTTAGCAGTCTATTTACTATTTTCAGTATGTTGAGACAACCCTCAATCTTAATTCCATTTACGTTGTAAAGGAGGACGGTTTTTTTCTGAAAGTTTGATTCTTTTGATGTGCAATCCTACTAATTATTGAAAATATCTGATGACTTAGATACCGATGATACAAATTTGGTTAGAGTATATTCAAGATCAGATGAGAATATTTGTATGGTTACAAGCAAATTTGTATGCATCATGTAAGCAAGTGTATTAGGATGTAATTTGAAATAGAATAGAAATCAATCAATAGCAAATTAAACAAGGTACATTTTCAAAGTTTATGGTAAATATCTAAGCTTACATAAAACAAGGTTTCCATATGACGAACAAAGTATTTAAATGAGAAGTATTGTATGGTATAGGCAAAACTATAACTTATGCACAAACCAATCAAGTATAAGATAACAGGTCTCGGATTTCGGCGCGAAATTCACTCATCCATTTGGATAAATAGGGTTTTGACATTATAGCTGATGTCAGTTCATGATGAAAACCCTAAATCTAATTTCTAACCTTAATCATCAACTATAAATCATAATTTCAATTCCTCACACAGGTTCATAATCCTCATTTAGTCCTGTTTATTAATTGGACACTCTCAAGGTCATTCTAGCGTTGCTCAAAGGTTGTCCATAAATTATAGTCTCACCAAACAGAGTAATTTTATTTAGAAAACGATAGTAGATTCAAACTGTTCAAACCAGTTCAATTTTAAACAACAACAAAATGAAATTTACATCATGAATATTACCAGTCAAATAAGAATATTTCATTATTATTAATACACTTTCTTACCTAAATCCACAGATATTGGCACATGTATTTTGGGTGGGACTTTGATCATATTTGAATCAATTTCTACACTATATATCAGATATCGAGATATATGTAATCTTTTCTAAGAATATTTAAAAAACAAAATAAGGGGAAAACCTGATATAAGTGAGAGTTAAATGAAAACATATTTATTATTGAAATCAAATGAAATACAAAATAGGCATTATATTTATACATATTACTCATAAGTACTAACGACTCTGAAAAAAAAACTATCCGTTGCATAACAGGTATAAAGTAGTAACAATTATTCTGAAAATGATTCAAGTCAAATAAAATGAATTTGCTTTATCACGACAAAGAAAATTAAACTGTCAATTACAGTTTGTTTATGGTATTACGAAACACTAATCACTAATGGTTGGAAAATTGTCAATTATAATCAATAGAGAGTATAGAGAAATTGCATGTTATTCCAAGCTTCCGTGTTACATTACTATGACAAGAAAATGAAAAGCAAAAAAAAGTCTAAAGGATACATTAGTAATGATAATGAGGAAGAATAAACATTTAGAATTTGATTCGATACGAAAGGTATATATAAATCAAACCGATTTACCCAGAATTTACTTCATTAATCTTTTTTTACCTAGTTCATATAACTTTATATATTACAGAACATTTAAGTGAACACTGAATATGATTAAAACTTATATTACTAAGTTTTTCATCTTAAATTAATCATAGATAAACCGAGTATTGTGGTGTATGTGCTACTTATATCGGCATAAGTAGTATCTAACGCTAGTTATGAATAGATTATCCAGCAGCAGAAGTTAGAGCAGATAGAGAAGAAAAGAACGGGAACAGAAAGCAATCGGCATGAAAGTGAAGGAACAGTCAAGTCTAAGACAATTGATTGACATTTTGCATATTAAGTATTTACTGTATGATTTTTACTAAGAAATTCTGTAATTTTGTGTTCAAATATATTCTATTTCCACAATTGATTGATCACTGGGTGGTGATCAGTGTCATGTGTGTCAAGTCCTTAAAAGTGCAGATCGAATGCTATCGACCAAGTTGCAATGTGGCCACTTGTCTAGGTGACTCGACACTGCGTGCACTATGTTGAGATTAGATAGTGGTTGGAGGTAGTCGACAGGAAACCCTGGACCCGGGTTTCGTGCTACTTTACACTAATCAGCAAGGTGTACCTGTAATCTTGAGGGAACTGGTGCTCCCCGAAGGATTCGATCCCGTGTCACCTAGCTTCACAGTCAGAGACGTTACCACTGAGCCATCTGGGCCGCGACCGACCTTCTGTAGTACTGAGATGTAGTCACGATAGTTGAGATCATGAGTCGATTGAAGCTAGACCACCTAGAAAACGTGGAAGCACTGGAAAGCTGTTTCCTCCTACTGTGGAATTCTTCAGCAGTGCGCATTCACGACCCCGCCTCCCGGAGTTCGAGCCCAGGACTTATCAGTCTCGAGCTCGACTCATGATCTCAACTATTGAAATTACTACAATGCCCACAAGTCTCCTGATACTAAAAAATATTTTGAAAACTGTTGTAGAAAATACCTGAAGTTTTAACTTTTTCTCCGATGAATTTTGATCAAAATTATGTAATATTAATCTCTTATTAGCCAACTCAAGTAATTCATCTGATTCAAGTGTATTTGCTAGTTGACGACGCTTTAATTCTGATGGTGCAAGTCGAATATGAATAGCATTTAACAGTGCTGTCCGACGTAAATCATTTTTTACTGGTAACCATAATGTTTCTTTTATTTCACAGTTTATTGGACATCGGAAATATATAACATTTGGATCACCTGATCGTCCAAAAGCTTTAAAACAAAAGTATGAAACAGTTTGATAGATTATTAGTATTATTTCAACGTACTACTAAAAATAAACTATTTTTCCTTCAATGAAACTAATGTAAGGTCGAGAAGTGGGGTAAATTTCTTTAATAACTCAGTCAGTCACTGGTTATCAACAACACTGAACATGGGAGAAAATAGGAATTGATTCAAGTTGCTAAACTTTTCATTATCATACCTGTTGAGGATGCTAGATCCCTAGAACTTACTTAGTAAATGTCTTATTTTTGTAATTTTATTTTAAAAAACTGAAATTCTTGTTTTTGTGCCAAAAGCGCCCATTTTCATTTTCATATCATATTTACCACATGGTAGGACCTTAAATGTCATTGGTTCGTTGTTCCTTTTGATATGCAATCCTGTAACGCTTCTCAAAGACATTCTTAAACCCTAGATATACGCTTGAGTTGTGTTTATTGTTGTTGTTCGTGCTTCTGAATGCTTGTAGGATAAATCTTCCCATTTCTGAATCTGGACTTCTCTTTCTAGTTAGCGGGGCTGAAACGCATCGAAAAACTTAGTTTATCTGATCACTGTCACTGAGTTTTCGTTCCGTTCTCAGATTAAGGTGACCTCGTAATGCCTTTAAACATAGCAATATTAAGAAGACAGTAACATGGTTAAATGCAAAGAATTTAAAATCACAATTCCACTGATAGTTAGTTTTCATTCATAACAGGTTTGTGTATTGCAAGGAAGCTAGTAATTAGATCACTCACCCACTCTCAAAGCAATTAACACCTGATTGTTAGGCTTAATTCTTGAGCAATATTATTGAGAAGATTAAACTACATGTATTGGACTATAAAAGTGAAATTTCATGGTCAAAAAATTAAGTTTCTTGACTACAGGGAATTGTAATAAAATTTCTGATAAATAATTATTCTAATAAATATTATTTCACACAATGTAATTTTCATTACTATTTAATGTAATGTACTTACAAGCAGCTGCAACAGCAGATTTAATACGGTAACCCCTTTCTTTTTGTTCAGTATATGGTAATAAACTTGGTTGTGGTAATTGAGCAATACCTTTTAACAGGATAACAAATTCACCAATTTTTTCATTTGATAATAATAAACAACATTCTCTTGTACCCCATCCTAATGGCAAATAAATAATTGATAATTCTTTGATATTTTGTTTTTCATCAGTTGTTTGTTGTTGTTGTTGTTGCTTTTGCCTAATTTTCACTTTGTTATCTGATTGTTTTATAACATGTGAATCTGTCCAATTATCATTGGTAGTTCCACATAGATTAATGGTATTTTCACGACAATGAAATGATTGATATTGATTTCTTTGATAGTATTCTGAAATAGTTAAAATGATTATCAGAATTATAACCAACATATTAAGTTGATGTTGTTACATGTTGAATTTTTGTAAACAGTTGGAAGGATGGTTTAGACCTAGATCTAGTGTCAGTCAATACTGATTATCAAGATTTACTTGCAGTCTTGAGGAGGCTAATGCTTTGCGTTAAGATTGGAACAGATCAAATGGAATCACTCGCTACTAAATGGTAGATTAGTTCTAGGGAAGACCATTTGCTGTGTAAACAGTTGAGTTTAATTTTATCACTCACTATGACACTAAGTATTAATATAGGACTAAATAGTATGAATAATGTCAATTCTTTCAAATTTGTAAATGCATTATGCTGACTAGTTCCACCTATAAAGAAATCCGGATTTCGACCTATGTATCGATTGTCAGACGAATTGTATGGAAATGCTGAGCCAGTTAACACAGCAATCATACGAGAGATTGACTGCTACTAACTGACAACTTAGTGAATTTCTTAGTAAACTGTTGGCGAATATTTTATCGGAAGATTTGACAATTCAAGACTGCTTCAAATAGCAGATTGTCATACAGCATATTTATGCATGTGTATGTATTTAGACTTCCATAAATAATCTGCAGACTAATGTGTTTTATTGTTATTTGGTCGAGGGCGTTTTGTGTAGAATTACACAAAACACCAATTTAGCTCTATCGAATCTGATTTATGATGAATCAAATAAGTTCATTTGACGGATTATATTTGTATCAGTCATACGATCATGTGCTCTCAATGTGCTTGGTTAGACCGTGGCACAGACGAACAAGAAGTATATAATGTCCCTTCATTTTATTGTGTTACGTTCTATCCTTCTGCCTCTTTTATAAGTCATTCCTACTGAAAAAATTTCACTGAGAAGACTTGATCTTCTTATTCCTACTTCATGAGTCAAACATCTGTCAAATCCTACATTATTTTATCGTGCCAACATCGAATTCTATCGAAAACCCTTGATTCTCAGGTTACATAGATGAGTACGATAGCATTCAACTTTTTAAACAGTATTACAAAAATGATTGTGTATTTCTTACAAGAATACTAGAGATCCTCACTGAGAAAATTAGAACGATACACATAAGCGAACCATATTGTTTCCACTTAGATTATAATCAGGGATTATTGTAGTACATTTGAGTATTCATACGGGTTTATGAAAATATTAATACGGCCAGGTCAATTAATGAGTCACTGGTCAAAATAACAGACTCCATGATAATAAATAATGAATAAAAGGGACAAATTGATAGTACGAAGATAGGTGTACTAGTAGTGAATAACAAAGTTCTGATCAGCAGTTCAACATAAAAATTAGGTCAAACTCGAATAAACAAACTTTTAAATAATAGTCACAAAAATTTATTGAAATTTGAATTGAGTAAACAATCGGATAGTGAAAAATAACAGAAATATAGGATGTGAAAAAAATCAATAGTCAGTAATTAACAACGTAGAACTTCGTACGTACATACATCATTTCAAGTTGCCATACCACATCAACACAGATACAATTCTCGATTCAAATCCCATAATGGTAGAGGTAGTAAAAGTATAAGTAGTAATCCGAAAGATTTGATTTCAAGATGTTATTCAAGGAGTGCAATCCAGTGAAATAAATTAGGAAAAAGAAAAAAAGGACATGAAGAATTCAGAAAATTAGAATTCGGGATAACACAAAGAGTGGATGCGCCTGCATCATTGCAAACAATTTTGAGCTATGTCATTCAAGGTCTCTAACCATCGGTTGCTATCATCTCTCGGTCCCCAACCAGGTAGTCTACACCTACCAACATGACTCAGTCCACTTGTCAGTGACTTCATGGATTTGTGCCATATTTTGGTCTGGCCTCCCCTAGTTTTCTTCCAATCTACTTCTACACCATAAAACATCGCACGTCGGGGCAGTCGGTGGTTGGGCATACGTAACACGTGTCCCAGTCATCTCAACTGATGAAGTTTCACTAGGTGATCAATTGATTTGCCATCCTTACCTATTACCCGTTTCCTAACAACCGCATTACTTCCGCGGTGGTCCCAAGATATACGAGCAATGTTTCGAAGACATCTATTATCGAATACTAGTAACCTACGAATATCATTTACTCTTACCGGCCATGTTTCACTGCCATAAAGTAGGACAGAACGAACTGCTGCTCAGTAAACTCGTCCTTTGGTTGGTAGACAGATATCTCGCCTACGCCATAAATGACGCAAGTTGGCAAAAGCTAGTCGAGCCTTTATCAAGTCAAATCCAGCCAATTGACGGATAAGGGCGTCACAAGCTTTTCTTGAATACATTGGCTACGATTGTGGATTCCTGTTCCTATTGCTTCCATAGGAGACGTGAACAAAACCCATTAGGAAACAATAAAGGTTTATGACAGATCACTCGAAATGACTTAATATTATTTCCAATATGACCACAGTCAACCGAGTGTGCTAAGATAGCGCTACATATTATCTTCGTCTGGCCCTTTCCAAACTAAGCTTGGAGACGCTCACTCACTCCCTAGTTAAGTTACTTGGTAGTATGCCCAATATATCTTATCAATCTTTTAATAGATGTCAAGTTCATGATAATGAAGTATTCTCAATAAAAAATGAACTCACCTTTCATGATTTCTGGTGGTAATTGACTATTATCTGATGATGATTGATCCAGTGAGCTTTCTGTCGCAGAATATGTTTCAGTAGATAATAAATTACCTGAAGTAAATTCTTTTTTCTTTCCATTTAAACCTAGTGTTTGGCATAGTGCATTGAATAAATCATTACAACTTTCAATTATTTTAATATTAAATGTACCACTTAATTTGTATGGATTTATAATTGGTATTTTAAATTCTGCCATTTGGTAACAAGGTGATTTAATGATTTTAGTTGGCTAACAAAGAAAATACGTAAAGGAAAAGAATAGAAAGAGAATTTTAATATTTTGTCTTTTGGAGTTAAAAACAAAATGTTTTGTTGAATAAAAAAAGGAAATACAATAAATGATTAAAGTTTTTATTTACAGAATGCTTTATATATTACCCAACTAATAATTATGCCCGTGGATTGGTTGAAGTTAGACATTAACACCGTTGGATGCCGGCCAGCTCAGTGATCTGGTGGTTAGGCGCTCACGCGCGAGACCGGTAGGTTAGGGGTTTGAATCACGCGGGGCGGGATCGTGGGTGCGCACTGATGAGGAGTCCCGTACTAGGACGGGATGGCCATCCAGTGCTTCCAGGTTTTCCATGGTGGTCTAACTTCAATTGACTCATGAATGCAACTATTAAATTACGTTGATTTTCATCACGAGTTAGTGAGTTGAGGAACTAATGAATATAACGTAACACAATATAGACTTAATAAATTGTAATAAGTTGCGAACTATTAGCACTGTAGGATGAATAAAATCATATTATTTGAGGGATAAGAAAACTAAATCCATGACGTTAGCATGATTTACAAGTTTGTTACCGAGTTATTCCGAGTCATATCACGCAGTGTCCAACCACTGATGTGGCTCAGATTCCAGACAATTAGTTTGCATCAACCTACATGACTTAGACCGATAGCTAGTAACTTCATGAACTGGTGTTACTTTTTGTATTGGTCGCTCTTAGTTTTTTTCCGATGTACTTCCACTCAAATAACCATTTTCAGTTGAGGTAGGCAGTGGTTAGGTATACGTAAAACATTCAATTACTTGAGGTTAGTTGACAGGAACGATTTTTTGATAGTTCATGATCATCTTCTAGGGTGTTGGAAAGGAACGGGTGTTTATGAATTCCTTAAAGATAACTAACTATATGATCTGAATATGTTGTATTCGTAAAGTTTTGTATCATGCATCATATAATTGCAATTACTCTATCGGACAAGTGTATTTGTAATTATTTGGAAAACCAATGTTTCAGTGATCTTTTTATTCAACTCTGTTGTAAACAAACTAATGAACGTACAACGTAAAGTAATGTAATTGGTAGGAAAAAAATGCAGTTATCTCAATCACTTACTAATGTATCAAGTCCACCTACAATTCCAGAAAGTATAAATGATACAGTTTTACCTTGTAATTCATTTTGACGTTGTGAAACTGCTAAAAATACAGCTTCTGTTAATTTAAGAAAACGTGATCTACAATGAGTTAGTAAAGAGAAGTAATAATACCTTTGTAAAAATGTATAAAATAGTGGAATTATTCATACGAATGAAATTATTAGATTATGTGAGATGAATCTGGCTCCTTAAAGATCATAGCTAACAAACTTATTGAATCAGTTATCAGTCTATCAATCACTGGAGTTTAGCATACGAGAACTAGATGTTATAATTAATGAGTTACTATATTCAAAGACAATAAGTATGTGTTATAAATATAAATTCAAGTCGAGCAAAAAATAACAAATGTGGCAGAATAAACTGGATTTACTTTACTTCGTACACAGAACCTAGACATAATAGTATTATTCATTAGAAATCAGTGTATATAATTTATATAATATCAGAAATGTTCTCATTGATAAGGATTGATAAAACGGTAACAAATATGAAAGAAATATCAAAGGTATTCAAATGGCAGAATGTTTATATGATAAATAATATGAAAATTCTAGAAGAAAAGGTTCGTAATAATAGCAACAACAATAAATGAATTGATTATCGGGTAAAATTGAATGAGGTATGGATAAAACTCAAGAAGGTATGGAAATAAAGAAAAAAGTAGGTACATATCATGTGCTCACTAGTGACTGGCTTCAAGATGGATTTCCTGGTGTTCTAGTGAGAAGCCGTGACAGGTGGAGTTCAATAGTGTCTGTCGTGAGACTGTTACTCACTGAAAACAATGGTGGGTAGTCGCGCAATATCGCGGATTGGTTGAAGTCAGACATTAACACAGTTGGATGCCGGGTCAGTAGTCTGGAGTTTGAATCACACGTGCTGGTTTGTGGATGTGCACTGCTGAGGAGTCCCGTACTAGGAAGAAACGGCCATCTAGTGTCCCCACATACTCAATGGCGGTCTAACATTGTTCCATTCATGATATCGATCTAAACCTAATAAATATCAGTCAGGACTTTGAAGAAATAATCTTTTTCAGTAGAAAACTTGGTATTTACATTATATGGTTAAGTAATAACTGATGTGATTTTTGTTTAGTTATATTAGTGCTAATCGGAAATAAGTGATATAGTCAATTCAAACCTTGAAGAAATGAACTGAACGGTATAACTTTTTAACGGTAGTGAATTTCCACAAAACATGATGTTTTGGAACTATACCATATAAAGTGATACGGCATGTCGTGTCTATTTAAGATGATATTCATATAGTTTTAAGAAGTAATTCCAGACGTAAACATGTTCAAATTCATTGATTTCAACGACTATGGTTCCAACCAATCTAAAAACTTATCTTGATTAGGAAAGTAGACTGCCAGATAATTCACATTTATGCCACTAAAGAGTTGATTGTTGAAACAAATTACTAATAAATACTACTACTACTACTACTACTACTACTACTACTACTACTACTACTACTACTACTACTACTACTACTACTACTACTACTACTTACTATACTACTACTACTACTACTACTACTACTATACTACTACTACTACTACTACTACTACTACTACTCTACTACTACTACTACTACTACTACTACTACTACTACTACTACTACTACTACTACTACTACTACTACTACTACTACTACTACTACTACTACTACTACTACTACTACTACTACTACTACTACTACTACTACTACTACTACTACTACTACTACTACTACTACTACTACTACTACTACTACTACTACTACTACTACTACTACTACTACTACTACTACTACTACTACTACTACTACTACTACTACTACTACTACTACTACTACTACTACTACTACTACTACTACTACTACTACTACTACTACTACTACTACTACTACTACTACTACTACTACTACTACTACTACTACTACTACTACTACTACTACTACTACTACTACTACTACTACTACTACTACTACTACTACTACTACTACTACTACTACTACTACTACTACTACTACTACTACTACTACTACTACTACTACTACTACTACTACTACTACTACTACTACTACTACTACTACTACTACTACTACTACTACTACTACTACTACTACTACTACTACTACTACTACTACTACTACTACTACTACTACTACTACTACTACTACTACTACTACTACTACTACTACTACTACTACTACTACTACTACTATTACTACTACTACTTTTAGAACACATGTAGGTCTGTATATGTGACATTCATTCATACAAGCAAACCTACTTATATTCAAGACATATTTGTAATTTTCCTTTCTGTGGTATAATCATTTTCATTTCTTTAACATCATTATACAACTTGTCAGTATTATTAGTATCATTGAGCTTAATGTAATTATCACTCGTTGAACATTTTAATTCCTTAACATCCAATTTCTTTGAATTTGTTTTATTGTTTTCGCGTTTTGTAATTTTATTCGATGTGTTTATAATAGAACAGTTGAAATCATTTGCGTTTGGACCAATTATTACACAATAATATGTTAACATTTGAGAACTTGTATTGGTAAATAATAATTGACGTTTAGTTGTAGAATTTAAAAGACCTTGAAATCGACAAAAGAAGGTAAACAGAAAAATAAATTTCATGGAATTATTTTAATAGGATGTTCTTTCTTTTAGAAACTTTTTTGACAACAAATTTGAATTATTAGTTTATAAGTCAAAATGAGATTTCCTTGTAGAAGAGAGAATAGGATATTCTAGAAAAATTGCTAATCAAAACATTAGTCATCGGTATAGGGTTATGGAGATTATTGAGTTTAGATTGATATCAGGAATAGATCAATGTTAGACCACCAATGAAAACCTGGAAGCATTGGACGGCCGTTTCATCCTAGTATGGGACTAATTGGCAGTGAACATCTACGATCCCACACATAGGACTCGAACCCAAGACCTTCAGATACTCAAAGCTGAGGAGTCTCATACGGGGACGAAACAGCTGTCCAGTACTTCCAGGTCTTTAATGGTGGTCTAACATTGATTCATTCATAATATCAATTCAATCATTAGTCATTTAGACAACGAATTGAAATGTTATAATGTGTAAGATAAAACTTAGCTTCAGCATAATTTTAGAGAATTTGCAAATAAAAATCATACTACTGGAAATATCACTCATCTTGTTAACCAATCAGAAAATTCTACAATAACCAGCAAAATGATTCAGAGTTTATGTATTTAAACTTTAATGATTACCTCCATCAAACTTGTTCATTTATATACTTTCATAGTGTTAATAACTGGTTACCATGAGACTCAAGAAATACCATCATGAAGGTTTATTAGTTTTTTCCTCGTCTGTCGTCTAGGGAAATGGAAGGCGATTGGTAAAAAGTTATTATATGAAACATATTACTTGATGATTGAGATGCCATGAGAGTAAAGCTGATCGTAAACATTTACAAATGAATATAAATAAAAGTTAATTACTGTTTAAAGCACTTTCTACAAATATAAATATCAGTATAGGTTCGTGGAGATTTAGTTTCACTGAAATCATGAACCGATCAATGTTAGACCATTTTATGAACACATAAATAAGTTCGAAATTTGTATATGAAATAATGAATTTATCAGTATGATCATCACGATCTGAGTTGATGGTTTCGAACGGGTTGAGAATTGGGTAGATTATTAATAAAAAAATATTTTTTAGTTATTAAAATAGTAAGTAAATCAATGGTAGACGACTACTGAAAACCTGGAAGCACTGGACGGCCATTTCATCGCAGCGTCATGCTTTTATTAAGTGTGCGACCACGACTCAGAACATAGGAATCGAATTGCGTGAAAATGTTTCACCTGTAGACCACTGAGTAGGCATTTAACAGTGCTGATATCTAACTTCAATCAATGCCCGAAATTACACGACCATCTACTACTGTGGTGTATGCTAATTATATTGACATAAGTGTTATACGTTAGTCGTGGAGAGAAGATCTGGCAGTAGAGAGACAAGAGGATCGAACAGTAAAGAATGGAAACAGAATGCCATTTGTATGAAAATGCAAGAACAATGAAGTCTGAGTCATTTTGAGACAATTGGTGGACATTTTGCAAATTAAGCATTTATTTTATGATTGTTAGATTTTATTAACAAGTCCTGTACATTTGATTGTCCCCACCAGTGTTATTGTTCACTACACTACTATCTCCGATGGTCAACTTTCCCGCACTCGACATGGTTGAACTCCACTGGCCAAGGCTTCTCACCAGAACTCCTGAAATATCATCTCGAAGCAATCAACTCAAGGGTCTAGAGATTAAGATTTCACTCGCTACATCGGACGCCCTGGGTTTAAGTATTGCGTGCGGGGTTGTGGATACGCACTACTGAAGGGATCTTTGCTGAGATGAGGCGCCGCTCAACGCTTCCAGGTTTTCAGTAGTCGTCTACCATTGATTGACTTACTATTGTAATAACTAAAAAGTGTTTTTGTTATTATTATTATTGTACCCAACGCTCAGTCCGTTCGAAAACATCAAGTCAGATCTTGATGATCATACTGATAAATTCACTATTTCATATACAAATTTTGAACTTATTTATGTGTTCATAAAGCGGGAAGTTTACTCCCGTTGGCATACTTTATGCTGATAATTCTTTACTGTAATTAAACTTATGGTACCGAACAAAATGAGTGTGATAATTCTTAATATTATTATATCATCACTGGAAAACTTATTATTTATTCCGTTTTTCTCCAATTTTTTATAACATTAAATAATATTTCATTTGTAAAGGTTTGAATCTTTTGTTTTCAATGTTAAGAACTTTAAATGCTCAGTCTATTTTGGCCTGTATGGATTCTTAGAGGACTACCTCAATTATCCCATTAAATCACAATTATTTTGAAGCGGAGCTCGATAGTGTTTTTTAGTGGAATCCAGGGCTTATGTATAGTCTTATTTAAGTCCAGGTGTGGAGATCGACACTAGAGTGCATGTACGTTCAGCTGGCGAGGCCAGGGTAGGGCGAAATCTATATCCTGGTTTTTAGTGCCAGCGACTACCAAACTCTGATTCTTTTAAAACCTTGTTCAAGAATACATATATATATATATATATATATATAGTTACAAGCATGGGTTTTAGCTAATTTATTCCTACCTGTAAAATTTATTGTTTGTCTCGGTAAATAATCCGGCAACTGACAAAATAAATGTAAACATAATAACGCCATACCAAATGGATGTGGACTTGTTATATCAGATGGACTCAAATCAAATTCAAAATGAATCATTCTTAGTGCTTGAACTAAAATAATCGCGTTATGAAAACACTGTTCTTCTGAATTAGGTTGTGTGTATATTTTGGAGAAGTAATTAGGGATCTAAAATCATAACAGTAGTGCAAAGGCCGTAAAATTTTTTCACGCTTTTAAAAGTTAACGAAAAATTATTAAACATTAAATATCATCGAACTAAACTTGTTTGTGTTTTGATCTTTCAATAAAAGGGTTGGGTGAATGCATTTCTGTCATGATGATCAGAGGTGAATAATCACTAACTATTTCGTGATTGTTATTCTCATCGTCAGCGAGTCAGTTGTTAGTTGATAGCTAGCCTATTGTTGTATCATCTCAACTGAATGCTTCGTACATACAATCGTCTGATCACTGAGTTGTGACCAATATCACGTTTTGTTAGTCTTTTAATGTTAGCCGAACTCTATTGATGAATTTGTAATGTGATCACTGGTCTGAGTGAATTGATATTGGGTGTACTTTGCTGAGATGATGGGTAGCTTGAGGTATTCAACAGGACGAAGGTTTCGTACTGACTTATGCTCATTAGAAAGGATCACCCGAAATCTTGAGAAGGCTGATACTCTTATTGAGATTTTAGAGTCTATCCTGTAAGCGAATTTATCAATTTCATCACAATTTATTTTATTAATCTTTCAGAGTCTATCGGGTCTTCAGACCACTGAGACGTAATTCAATAGTTCACACGTCTAGCTCCAAACAGTTTACGCTATTGAATAAAGAAAGCCTGTATTATTCGTCCCTTGTTTTCAGTTGCTTGATCAGATAAATGTATTTGTAGTCATATGAAATCTGAAGTTAAAAAACAAATATTTAGCTTTGGTAATAAAGCTTTCTACCTAGTCCCTGATATTTTCTCCCTTCATTTCTGGATGAGTCGGATGTTAGGAACTGGCAAACTAGTGAGACCAGACCACGGAAAAAATTCTTTTTGAAATAACAATTTTACTAAACAAAAAACCTTAATTAATTTCTATCAGCTTGGTGCTACGGTAAATCTAGTAATAGTTTATATATTTCCTTTGATCTACGGTCCATAACTTAATGCTCTTAGTAGTATATTGTTCTCGTGTAAAAATATGGGCAGTTAATGTTGTCTAACTTAACAACTACATAATTAATCCGTCCGTTTTGGAGAAAATAATGCCACCAAAAACATTCACTTGAGCTACAACTCTTCACTATTTCTCAAGTAAATGCTAACTTATCAAGGTATGTACGTTAGTCAAGATCAAGCTGATAATATTGTGATCAAATATTAATTTGGTACTGTGAATCGTCATATCACCATCAGTGTTAATAATAATTTGAGATAATTGTATATATATTGCATTAAATACTAAAACGGATAAAATGTACTATTACAATTCAAAAGTTAAGTCTATTTTAGTGGCAACCATGAGTGACATTATTCTAAAAGAAATACCCATCTACTTCTGGCAGGTACGTCGTACAAGATTAAAACATTAAAACATGAATAATATATTTTTAATTTCCCGGTGAGTAGGAAATTTCCTGATGTCTCTCGACTCAGAGTAAGCATATAAGCAATATCTTACAATATCATTAGAAATGCAACAAAATAAAGCGACTTACTGTTGAGTAATAGCTTAGATGAAATACCATGGATTGGTACTGTAGTTTTACCATACCGCTATGGTACAAAAGAAGAACTCCAAAAAGTCTTAAAGTAACACAGAATTAAAGCATCCTACAAAAACAGCTCATTCCCTTCAAGATTATTTGTCTCGAATGAAATGTAAGATCCCCTATACATCATCACAGAACTTCATCTACAAATTAGGGTGTACCGATTGTGATGCCTTCTATATTGAAGAGTCATCTCGTGAAATCGTGAAATCTAGTCAAAGAATATCTTATGTACACAAAAGAACCACCTAATAATCCTATAGAACTTAAAAGGCTTTAAAGTGAATTGGAAATAGCAGTGCCTCCCGTCTTCAATAACCATCAAGTGGACATTAATCAAATGATGTAAAAAAGCCTTTCCAACTACAAAGAAAGGCGAGTAGCTGAAGCTTTCTATATGTTTCTAAATCCAACTGCTCTTAATGGAAAAGAAGGCCTTGCTTGGGCTTGGACCATCTATCCGAGCTAGCACTTCTGCTTCTACCCACCTTTCACACTATTATCATACATACAAATTCAACTCCATCATTTTACATTACAAATGCCATATTTTTGACCTGTTTTTTTATTGATCTTACCAAATATTTTGCTTCGTTCCTTTGTACTATTTAAACTTGTGTTTACTTAAAGATGGATGGTGACTAGCAGTGTAAACCAGGACACGCATTTAGTCCTATTTGGGACTCGTCAGCTGGATGTATCTGCATCTCAGATTTGATGTTCACTCTGGGACTCGAACCTAGTGCCATCCACTTCAAACGCCATCATGTTATCCACCAGGCTACTGAGTCCTGATAGCCATTTGCCTGTAAGATGGGGTGAAGTTTAAATTCATTTTGCATTGTTTACTTGAATCTTCCCATTGATGTTTAGGACTGCAATTGATCAGTCTATTATTGGGATATGTGCATCCTGTGAGGGTTGCCTCCACTGCTAGCCATCATCCAACTTTGCTTATAATGCTTGTGACTTAAGGCAATATCGAGGCAATCCGCACAGGATGCACATATACCAATAAGAGATTGTTCAATTACAGTCCTAAACACCAATGGAAAGATTCAAGCAAACAATACCAAATGAATTTTGGGTTTATTTAATTCGTTTATTTGTTCTCTGTAGAAGTGGCTTACACTAAGTCACGAAACGTCATAAAGTTTCATTTTTCTACTCACTGAGACAAATATATTATTTTTATTGGTTAAATCTACCCAATGTTCAACTTAGTCGAAATTGAAACGTGCGGTTTCATACAAATCTTCGTATTAGAAGGGTCCTGCATTATTTATTTTTTTTATCACATAATTCAAGTTCTTACTTTTGTATGCTAATCATCTTCCCTGAATTGATACTTTATATTTTCTAAAGTGAACTTGCTTTTCATTTATTGGTTAGTTGACCATTACTGTCTATTTATGTTCTTTAAAGTGACTGATAAAAAAATTATTGCAAATTAGTTATGTCATGCTCCAAGTTTCAAGATTTTAGTAAAAGTCGTTTTGGCAAAGATCAAACCTCCGTTTTCTCCTGATGCATTAATTAGGTCAATTAAAGTTGCACTGTTGTGGTTGTGTAACAATAACATAATTCTCTACCTTCTAGGTCGGGAATACTTTACTCACTCATCAAAATAAGTCAGGTTACTATCTTGATTAACATAACGGTTCTAGATTACCGCTAACAAAAGCTATGATAACATTAAAATATAAAACAATGGTAGTTATGAACAAAAAAAGTTAAGAATGATTTCATTAAACTAACAAGACAAGGCACATATGCACCGATAGCACATGCTAATATAATCCCATCACATAGATCATTATCAAAATTAGTAACAATCAAATTATTATTTGTAAATACGGATTTCTTTTCAGGCCATATTTGACATGCATACTGATGATAACAATAATTTAACCAAGCCAATAAGATACATTCACATGATGAGTAACAGCTGTTCACTTGAATTTCATTGAAATTAGTTAATCTTGTTCTCTGTACATTGTCTCTTTGATTTGATAACCGAATTGTATGTTTTATTACTCGATCCGATTTATTTGATTCATTTTGTGATGAAGATTGTTGTGAAACTGTTGGCGTTGATGACATCAATTCATTTGTTTTATGTAATAAAAGATCTTTTGGTGGTAAATTAATAGTATCCAGTGAATTGATGGTTATGTGATTAAATAGAAAACACTAAAATGTTATGAATGAAAATATGAAAGCAGAGAATCGATAAGTATAATTTAATTTTAGTTGCAAAACGTCAAATGCTACTAATACTGACCATAAACAAAAATAAAAACTGGATCAAAATCCTTGATATTTATCAATGATCTTCAAGTACTATTTTGAGTTAAGTGGATCTAGAATTCTAATTTATCTAAGCATCTACTAAACAATAGCTTTTTCATCAAATAAGAATTCTTGATTAAGATCATGAACCGATTGATGTTAGACCACCATTGAAAACCTGGAAGCATTGGACGGCCGTTTCGTCCTACTGTGGGACTACTCAGCAATGCGCATCCACAATCCCGCTCGCGGGATTCGAACCCAGGGCCTTCAGTCTCGCGCGCGAACGCTTAACCTACTGGACCACTGAGCCGGCATCCAATGATGTTAATGACTAACCTCAACCAATCCACGAAATTGCTCGACCTTCTTTCATTGTACTGAGGTAGATACCTGTTCCCACCCGACACGGATTAGCTCGATTGGTCACGGCTTCTCACCAGAACTCCGAGAATTTTCTCATGAAGCTAGTCACCAGTGAGCATGGTAATTATCAGTTTAGGGGTTGTGGAGATTGTTAAGTTTTTGATTGAGATCTAAAATCAATCGGTTCATGATCTCAATTAAAAACTTAACAATCTCCACAACCCTTAAACTGAAAATAAGAATCCGTTTTGTTGTGAGTAATTCATAAGCTTTTACTGATCTTCTTTATACAACTTAATTAGCACAGATATCTAGAAATGGTATCATTGATTACTATCATGTGATTGATTTCTATGTTAATATCTGAGTTGCACATGATAAAACACATACCGGAATTTCTCATTATTACCGTCTCTAACTAGAATAGGTAACATGAGTTTAAATCGCGGATGAAGTCTTGGTTCCCTAAAGGTTAAAGATAAACTTAGCTGAAGGATGTTAACTAAAGTGAAAACTAGCTTGTTAACATATAATGACAATCTTTTAGAGAGCTACAAGAAAGCACCATGAAGAAGATTAACGAGAGGTAGTAAAAAAAAGTTATGCATCACAAAACTTAAGTATATTAGAAAATCAATAATAGGAATATCGGTTTTTAATATCTGTTACGAAACATGTATAATAATCCACTATTCTTACTTACTTTAATAAGTTGTATTAATAAATCTGTCCAAGCTCTTTCAGATATTATTAAAAATCGATCTAGTTCAGATTCACTTAATGGACTTATATCTATTTTTATCAACTCATCATTTGATTGATTATCATTTTTGATTTTTTGTGATTTCATCCAATCTGTTACTGTTATGATATTGTTTTTTTGAGATAATGATATATACACTGTACGTGCAGATTTTGTTAAACCTGGACATCCATATTTATGCCATAAATGATAATCATTCGGTTCCATTAAATGTTCTGGTAAGATATGAGGTAGACAACTGCCTTGACTAAAATAGAAAATAATATAATTAAGAATAATAAGCAAAAATGTATATGGTTCATAAGCTTAACAGTATGAAGAAGAAGTAATAATTTTGAAATATTCCAAATGAGTTGCACTATGGTTTAGATTGACTAGAATTAAAATTGCAGACAATTGGATTTCTACTTAGTGATTCAATGATATCCTGTTCAAAACCATATCAAAACTCCTTGAACTTAGGCTACCGTAGATTCATGAGATTCTCTTTAGACAGAAATATACAAGTGTTCATTAGTTTGTAGTTTGTGGTTATGTTCCAATTAATGTTAATTTATGATAAGAACCATATATAAATGAATAGTTGAAGATTTTATGCATCTAAACGAGCAACGTGTTTAGTTGTCAACTATTGAAAACAATTCACAAAATTATTATCATACTATTCAAAACAAGAACACACAACAGTAATATATGTTCATAGAAAATAGATGATGTTTTTTAAGCCCGCCAACAATGTTCATTGAAAAAAGTGATACGCTATGTAATAAGCAATAGTTAACCAGAGGAATTATTAAGATCGACCTATTAATACATATCATTCGATGATTGTTGAAGTAATGATCCCTTGACCAATTAAAAAAAACAATTTGTTGAAGTCAACAAAATGCTAAAATAAATTTAGGTCAGTGAAAAACATAAATAATTGCTGAAACAAATGTTTAAAGATTGATTTGTACGTAATATAACCAGAAGCGTTTATTAATTGTGCTATACGACGTTTATGTTTTACTTGAGGTCCACTTTATCACTATGATCTTTCTGTATAGATGGAGTCATCACTGAACAGTATTTAATACATTGTTGTTTAGTTTGTAGTGCTGAAGAAACTCTACGAAACATGATAGAACTAGGTCACTAAACTTAGTAGATAGACATTATTATACACTGCATTTTATATTAAGTGATCATAGGAGTCCGTAAGGAACCGTAAAATATGCTATGTGCCATTTGGCGGTAGTCAGTAAGGTTTGATTAGAATCTTGAGAGATGTTTATTGTCACACTTGATAATAAGTGTCACCAATAATTTCAAAGACGAACACTAAATAACATAGTTTTAATTCCATGCACAACACAAATACTCTCAAAATTGCAGTTGTCCCCTTCTGATAAGTACTAAATTATTTAGAAACCTAGATCCAGAATGTTCTGGCAATTTTTTCTTCAGTCACCTAATACATAATTTCAAACTTTTATAATGTCAATCCATACAATTTTGTAGATGATTTTAATTATCACACACAAAAGATAATATATACATCAGATAAGAAAAAACAACATCGGTATTTGTTATATCCGAGCGAAGATTAAATCACGAGTAACTTCTGAGACATATTAATTGACTAATATTACCCATACATTCTTATGGTATAACTATTCAATAATTAGATTATGTATATTTATATTCCTCTTATTATAAGCTTTATTTTGACCTATAATTTATTATTTTACGATGTACTGTTCTTAAGCTATGTTCAGTTTATTGACTATTGCCTCCCACGTTCACAGCCACTTTTTGACTTTATTGTGTACAAATATTATTTCCTATTTTATGGTGGGTTGCGGTCTGTTTGATTTATATATAAACCCAGTATATCTGAAATAAATTATCCGATTCGATTCGCGTAGTGGGAGCTGGTATTGGTGTTCTGGACTCAAGTGGACGGTCTAGGCGAACATAGGACCGATAAGGACGCTAGGCTGCTCATACCTGTCGAACGTCATTGGTTTGACACAGTGCTAAGATTGTATAAGTCGTATTTTGATTGGTGGATAAATCACGTGGTAAAAAGCCGGACATAAAGTCATAACAGTATCACTCAATTTATTCCACAAAAGTAAAACTAACCTTCTTGCAAATGTTAACAATGAAGAACAATAAAAATAAACAATTGATAAACCTTCATAAGGATTATTTATTGGTAAATTAATTGTAGGTAATAGACCAGGTGGTTGTTTATTACCACAAAGATGTAATAAACAATTATATAATGGATTAATGCTACATGGTACTGTTTCATTCATATTATCAATATTCAATTTATTATTGTTTAGTTCATGTTTCATATTAGTTTGACTAGATTCTCTTATTGTTGTATTCTGTTGAGATATAGTATAGGATTTTTGTTTTTCACCTAATAATGATTTATTCAATATTGTAGTTGTCAATGATATACAACTGCAAAACAAATAAACAATAAATAGTAATAACTGATGAGAATATTTGATAAATTTAAATATGACCATAAGTTATCAATGATATTGCTGAGTTGAATGGATATATTCACGTGTCATATATTCTTAAAGATGTAAACGAGAAAGCTCAGACAACAGTGAAGAGAGATGACAACTAAAAAGTAAGTTAACCATATTTCAAATGTTCAATCTTTCTCATAACCAATGCTACTATATTGTTTTGATATCGATTAGTATTTATTTATTTTTATTTTCATCCTGTTGTACTTTTGTGGTATGGTGACTTGAGCCAACACAAACATTGTACCAGACTATATGGTGATGATTACTGGAGGATCAATTGAAAATTAATCCTGAAAATCTGAAAGTGTGTAAGTGATCTGTAAAAAAATAAATATCTAATTTGTCTATAAAAACTTTGATAAAATTTCTTCATTATCTGAATGTTACTTAATATGATTATAACAAGTTATAATTGTATAAGGGAAATTGACATTTTGATGAATTTTAGATTTCACAGATTGAAATCATAAGTCATTTGAAGTTGGGATCCAACGGAGTTCAACCAGGTCTGTTGTGAGATACCAACTCACTGAAGACAATAGTGTACGGTGGCACAATTTCGTGGATTGGTTGAAGTTAGACATTAACACCGTTGGAAGCCGGCCAGCTCAGTGGTCTAGTTGGTTAAGCGCTCACGCAGGATACTGTGTTCGAATCTCGGGGGGGGGGCGGATCGTGGATGTGCACTGCTGAGGAGTCCCATACTAGGACGGAACGGCCGTACAGTGCTTTCAGGTTTTCCATGGTGGTCTAGCTTCAATCGACTCATGATTTCAATCAGTGAAATTTCAAAAATCTCCACAAAATCCCTTCTGAGAATTGTAGATTGTTTTTGTGAATTTTAAAGTCTTCCTCTAACATTGTTATGTATTGTTTAAAACTTTATTTTGTCGATCTCTCATCTTAAAACAGAAAATATTGATTATAAGTGTAGAATAAATTCTAAGCTTTTGAAAAATATTTAGGTAGTATAATTTATAATTAAAAGAAAGTGAAATATACAATTAATTACTTTCTAAAATCATCTGGAAACTTAAATTGATAACGACTCTTTTGAAATCCATGAACACTCAACCAACGTTGTACTTGCTCTGTTGCTGTTCGATCAATTAATTGCCAGTCTGGTAGAAATGAACATGATTCATAAGAATTTGCTATTGTTGAAGAAATTGTAGATGGAGATAATCTAAAATTGAAAATGAATCAACAGAAATGAATGAATATCAGAGTGAACATCAATTCTAAGATGCAGGTACATCCAGTTGATGAGTCACAAATAGGACGAAATGCGCGTTCTAAATTCCACTGCTAGTCACTATCCATCTTTGCTTTAAAATGTACTTTTTTTTACAAAATAAAAATGATCATTTGCGATTAAAATGTAAATTTATTAACGATATATATTGTGATATAAATTGACAGATTACAATTAGTTTATGATTTTAGTAAAAATATTTATTAAAGATGGAAATTGATTAATAAATGTTCAAGTTTGTTATGTTGTTACTTGACATCTTATCTCTAAGGGATTTAAAATTTACTAACACGATATCATTATAGTCCTCCTAGAGTAAATAGTATAGTTTTTGAAGTAAATGTTCATTCTTGTTATCGGAAAATGAAGCTAAACATGAAATTAAGAGATAGATCATTTGTTCTTATTAAAAATTTGATATCAATTGGATTCTCATGAATATAATGATTAACTACCTACTTCGGACATATAGCCTAGTAAGTTTACAAAATAATTGCTAAACAAAACTAACAAAAGAAAACGACCTTTCACAATCAGATATTTTTTTGAAAAAAATACAGCTTTGTAAATTCAGATGTATTTGACTAATTAATTCACTTATTGTTTTCTTGATAACATAATTTGTAAGTATAGATATCTAGGTTGTGCATGAGACTTATCAGCTGTATACATTTATACTTTACTTCCAAACATAATTGAAGCCTCTGATTAAAAATTCAACGCTTTTTACAGTTGCCAGACATATATCAGATGTATGATCCAGGCCTAATTTTTTTTCAGAATGTGTTAAATGTATGATACTGGAAGTATAAAGGTGTATGGCTGGGAATAGGCATAACTTCAAATAAAGCCACACACTGTAGAGTGCAACTTTTCGAGGCCTACGATTATTGAGTATTAGAAAACAGTCACTGTTTACACGAAGAATGGTATGTTGTTGATAGAAAAAAGTTAATTCATATAAAGTAATGATCTGTATTTACCTCATCTCATTATTATCTTCAAAGTCTTTTGAGTGATCTCGATGAATAAATGGACCTGTAATACAGAAAATATGCTAATGAATTTATGAATCAAAAAATTGCATAGGTAAATTAATGAACACTATTTTTGATACATTAGTGAGAAAATTCAGTGGTGATTATCTAACACAAATCAATCAAGGAGTGTAAGCTTAACGTTCAATCATGCTTTACAGCATACGATATATGGCTAATATAATAAATAATACGAAGAATCTTCAAGTATTTGAGGTACCACATGATCTATGAGGGTCGTAAACGAAAGTGAAAAGAGAGTAAAATGAGTTGAAATAAATAAATGAGCTTCAGTGGGAAGTTTTAGAGTCATAAAGAGTATTACTTAGAACATGTATCTAAATTACTGTGTTACCATTTACAGTATGTGATATATGATGTCGGCTGTTGGCTCGAAACATATGAATATCTAGAATGCATGAAGACAGAAAACATACATTCACTGTGACCATATTTGGGGACTATTTCGCAACCCAATTACTAGAAGACTTACTGCTTTTTCCGAAATAATTCCATATTACAGAAGTCAGAAGCTAACCATGAAAAACAAATGATCTGGATACTTGATATGATGCCCGACCACAGCATTAAAAGCTCTAATAAATCCACGCAGTGCCTGGGGCGGACGTATAGCTACTTGAGTAGGATAATTAGAGGACACAGTTTATAGTCATATTTTGCAGTGCAATGTACCAATATTGGTCATGTTTCGCTGACGTCATAAATAATGTTAAATTTTAGCTACCTAAAACCAAATACCATCGACTTCCTACTTTACAATGTTCATAAAACTACCCAGGTGTATGAAGTCAGCATTACAAACATAACTATTAAGATAGTCATCGATTTAGTCTAGTTTAGTGTATTGTCTTATATTTGACGGGCGCACATCATATGACATCTGGTTAGTGCTCTTATTAGATGCAAATAAATGTGATAGGAGATTTTGGTTAAAAAAAGCCCTACTGCGAGTGGACGATCATAAAGTTACATTCATCATTATATACAATAATGGAATATTTATTGGTGAATATTAGTTCAAGCTGATTTATGTTGACAGATGATGTCTTGTTTAATCTGGCAATGAGATCACAAATCTTTGTCGACCAAGTTGTCTGAAAGATTTCTAACAGATCCCTAAAGTTATCTTTTATGCCATACTAATAATCAAAGTTCAGTACTGTTTAGGGTATTTATAAAACTTATGATATAAATCTCTTCATATTTATCTTTCACATTTCTGTTTATTCGAAATAAAATTTGTCATGTATAGGTAATAAACGTACTTTCTGAAATATCAAAAATGTTATTTCGTGCATTTCTAATACCGTTTAAACAATTTTCATCGGTGTTCCAATGTGTATTACTTCCTACTGAAGAGTTTTGATCAGAAGACATATTCTCTAAGTTTAAGCATTCTTTCTGTGAAAGTTTTAATTCATCAAACAAGTGATATAGTGAAATAATGTTTAGGTTACGATTCAGTTTTATTTCGTTCAATTTATTTCTAAGATACTAGGAGAAAAAAAGAAAGAAATTAGAATGAAATGGCTATTTAGTTATGTAATGCAATTATGTACAGTAGTTTATGGATGGGCATAGATAAGACAAGTTGAAAATTATCAACGACTATGTAAAATATAAAATTCATTATTTAATAAGTTTGTTTTAAGTATTTTCAATAGTTTGATTAAAAATTTGTGTTTGAAAATAACGGAATCAAGCAACAACTCGTCAGTATTAATAGTTTCGTTGACTACAAGTTAACATGAGTAATGATGAAGTCGATCATATATATATTAGATATATTAGATATAGGATTTGGAAAAAAAATGCAAATCGATCTCATTCATCACACATCACACTATGGTAAGGAAATGAAAAACTAAGGAATCGAAATAAAATGTCAATGGCAGTGATATACTAAAATATTAAGAAATATGACTTGAAAAGTGTAACTGAACGGTATGGATTACATTTACTCCAAGAACTGTAACATGTAGGTCTGTTTTTCATGACAGTTTAATCTGTTTTTTAATAACTTTTTATATTGGTGTTGTTCATTAATTCAACAGAGCCTAGAATTCGATAATGATGTATTTAAACCCTGTAAAATGTGTTTGGTTCGGTTTTTTATTAGTCGTTGTATCTACTGTTTAGTTTGTGTGTTCATTTCTGTGCAACTCTTCATTTGGTTCAGATAACGTCAAATGTATTTCATGGTTGCAATTTTTGTTACTGGCTGCTTAAATATTAGCACACTTAAACTTTAAGGAAAGATTCTTATTTTGGTTGGGTTTGGTGGAATTTTGTAGAGAATAACTAAATGTTGTGTGTTGATGACGTTAAACTCCCACGTCATATTTATTTGGAAGAAACCAGATGTACTGATTCAATAAGATATTCGTTAATTTGATTTATATATAAGTTCATTACGGCCTTCATTCTTATTCAGTCAGCCAGTCAGCTACAACGTAGGACCAGGCACATATCTGCATCGGTCCAAGTCGCCATACCTCATTTACACAACATGATGAACACCGAATTCATAGAAGTAGTCAATTCGATGATGGTAATATATAGAAGAAAGTGTATAGTACAGGAAAAAAGAATTAGTTGTTAGAAAGAAAGATATAAAACAATTATAATCTCATAGTTTAAGGGAAGAAAGAGAGCGTATACACCGACGCAACTGTGATCGATTCTGAACCACGTCACACAGAGTCCCCAGCCATTGGTTACGATAGTCACGCGGACCTCAACAACGTAGTCTGCATCTACCAACATGGCTCAGACCAGAACCTAGTGTCTTCAAGCACTGATGCCACGTTTTGGTTTGGCCGCCCCTAACTTCCTTCCAACTATCCCCAACAATAGTCAGCATTTCGCGTTGTGGTAATCGGTTTTCAGACACACAACACGTGGCCCAACCATCTAAGTCGATGAAGATTTACAACTTCGTCAACTGATTTTCCATCATTCCCCATTACCTTGCATCTAACCTCACTATTACTTACCCGGTGATCCCAGCAGATGCTAGCAATATTTCTGAGGCATCTGCGGTCAACTACTAGTAGCTTATGAATATCTTCTACGCTTAATGGCCACGCTTTGCAGCATTAGACCTATGTGACAATTGCCCTTTATGATAACCTCTTTTATTAATAGCCATTAAATATAACTTGTATAAATGAGACGAATTCTAATTGTTAACAATCTTTTTTGATATCTGTGAATATGTCTTCCTTGCAATATTTGTCTTTTACAGTAGCCAGAGCTAAGTGGTAAAATGAGTTACGATATCTTGAGACCGAGTCATACTTAAATGTAATCACCCTTATCACAAATCATATCGTCATCAAAGACTGATGTTAATCGAAGGACCATGGACAAATGTTTTTTCATATTTTGAAATCTTTAAGTTGTGGACGTTTACGAACATGTAGATTACAACTGACAAATATCTTCAGCTCTTTCATCAGATGTCAGTGTAGGATCCAAACTACGGTTTGGATGGTGAAGTATAGCCGACCGGGGATTTTAGACACGCGCCCTTTCCCGTCGAAATCAGAACAAGTAATCGAGTAACTAGCGGTTCTATAATTCATAATAAATTTAATGTAAATCATTACCTAAACAAATATTATCACCCGGCTATTCAACCAATGATTGTTCAATCAATCAAATCTAAATTACAATAAATAAAGAAGTTGATAGAAGATGAGGAAAAATTACCAATCACAGCAAATCAACGTTATTCTATCCTGGCTGGATAGATCACACACAACAGGAGGAACAAATCAATATGGCTACCGCCAAGAACAAGTGTCAAGTAAAACAACGCAGATGCAGCTCAGGAAGAAACACAAACTTAGTGAATGCGTAATAAAAACAAAAACTATAACAAAAATACAAATATTAACAATTCAAATGTAATCAAAATACAACAATGTACAACTAATGTGATCAATAGGAATAAAGTACAAGTATATACATGGAGAGATTTTCACCAACACATAAAACCTTCAAAATGGATCTTACAGTCAGTCCTTGATAAAAAGCTATTTTCGTCGAAAACGACATTAATAAATTGTAATCATACACAATCATTTAACTTACTTGATAATCAGTTAGTCTAAACTCATTCGGTCGACGTGTTATATAATCAAACCAACTGATCAGACAATTATCAACAGCTGCACTAACAGGTAAGGCAGCTGAACAAATATATGATGATAAAAATTGATCTCTTGAACTTTTATTCGATGAATAACATACTTCAGTATTATCACAATTATTGATGCTTGCAATTATAATTAAACATAATGGTCTTGGATTGGGTGCAAGAACAAGACCATTTAATTTACAGTTAAAATTAACACATAAATTTAAACTTCCTGTATCAGAAACTGATGAGTTATAATTTGGTTTTAGAACTGTAAATTATTAAAGAAAAGAAAAATCAGAGACAGTGATGATTTAGTCAGTAGAAATAGAAAGAGACAGATAAAGATGAAACGGTGCTTATTTCTTGCTCAGTAATATGTGTCGTCTGAATTATAAGGTATCAATATTATTAATTGTTTTCTATGTAACCTGAAGAAATATACTTAAACTCACCTACTGAACTAACTACCTATAAGACGAATCGTTCACCGCTGTTATTATGTGTCACAAAACAACATTTTCTTTTTTTTATAATCTAAGTTGATCTGACTTGAATATTCCTCTTTATATACATATGTAACTCCTTAATGCCATTAAACTTCAAATAGTTTTTGGCTTTGTGTTCATCAAGCTAAATAGTCATTGCCATTTTGAACATCATGCGGAAGTAGGCTCTGAAGGTGTTATCCAGAATAAAAATGAAAACTGTAATTGAATTATCAAACTCAGAAAACACAACATCAACAAAAGGTTACACTTCAACTGAAAATCTTAAGCATTTTTAAAATGCATAATTTAATCGAGCCAGGAATTCTATTCTTCATACTTTATATTAGTTAGTATAACCTAGTGAATTTTAGTTTGTTAATTTGAAATCAATGGTAAGAAATGTATCCGGATTACAGCCCTATTGCTTCGTAGTATACGAAGTAAGTTCTGTAATACATTTCAGAATATTTGATTAGAGTAATAATGATCGTATTACAGATAGAGAAAAATACTAATTGCACACAAATCACTTATATATTGATGGTTTTCGGTATGCAAAATAATATTTAACAGTAGATGCTTTTAGTTCATATAGGCATAAACAGACTTTATTTCATTTCAAGATATTTTTGATCGATAATTTTATTCAGTCTTTTAAAACTTACTTTGACCTTCTGGATATTCAATATCAAATGGACATTGAATATTTTCTTCGCTAATTGATTGAGCTTCACATATTGGTGAAGAATTCCAAAATCCAAATATTTGAATTGGTTGATTTATTTGATAAGCTGTCAGTTTGACTGGTATTCTAACATTTATTCCAGTGGGAATAGGTGGTATCAATATTCTTTCGGGTTCAAATTTCAACTCCAACTTGCTTAACTCAATATGAATTTGAAGTGTTTTATAAAGTGAAGAACTAGATTTTGGACTTTGTTCACTGTTTAAATCTTCAGGAAATGTTAAACAAACTGGCAGTTCTAACTTAAAAGATCCTGGTTTATCTAGAAAGAAGGATATATTAATAATGTGTCATAATAACAGTGTTTATAAGTCCTTATCTTATTTACAAATATATGATATGTATATAATTACTTAGGATCTATGTTTTAGTTTGGAAGAATTAAAGTGCTAAGGGGATAGTTAAAACTGCTTGTGTAACGTTAACATTGAAATCGAAACTTGCAATCACCATAACTTTATGAGTTAATTCAGAATATGTATGTACTCGATCTTTTGACTTCATTGAATATTTATTAAATAATACAACGATAAATGGTTGGATGATGAATAAAATAGACGGTGTTAAATATTATTGGGACTAGACATGTCTTGAGGATTTTAAAAATCAACTATCAAATTACATGTAGTAGAACGCAGGTATAAATAACTGTTGGGCACTCACGGTAATAAAAAACATATCTAAGTTTATGACACAAATACTACTAAAAAACAAAATAACTTTTATTCAGAGTATAATGGTAAGAAGTAATAAAAAGTGACTTCTCTAATTTAAGCTAATTAGTCTTTTCTTGGAGTTTTGTTCTCTGAGCTGGATGGTTTAGTCGTGGAGCCTTCATCGTTCTTCTGAACAACATCATCAGCACAAACTTCAGGTACAAGTGAAATGTTCGAATTTCTCCACATGTGGTTCACGGCTTGTCCTGTAGACCTCAATAAATTTACCAACCAATCCGAAAAATTATAAACAAACATAGGAACAAAAACCAAACCGATGGGAGATACAAACAAAACAAAAAAGTCAACAGTGACAGGTTTAAGGTCAACAAGAACCAATCAATATCGAGGTCTACAGGACGAGCTGTGAACCACATATGGGGAAATTCAAACATTTCACTTCTACCTGAAGTTTGTGCCGATGATGTTGTTCAGAAGAGCTATGAGAGCTCCACGACCAAACCATCCATCTCAAAGAATGAAAGTCCATCAAAATCATTCACCTGTGCTACAAATACTTTCCACCATATAATTAGTTTTGACAATTTTATTTCCAACTTCCAACAGTTAAAATGATGAGATTACTTGATGTGATAATAGCAGATCCATTTTTAAACATTAGTGATGACAGATTATCGTTTCACAGCATCAGATAGTTTTTCGAATAACAAAATCATTATTTCAATTAAATTGTACAAAATACAAAAAAACGTTTACTTTGAAGGTAACTTTCTTCCAATGGAAAAATTTAATTTTACTTACTTGAACATAATCTAATTTCAAGATGAATTGTTCTATCATCATTTTCTGCAAAATCTCCATTAATGTAACCATCTAAATCAGGCAGTAGTTCTATACCTTGTGCATTGAGTATCGTCAATTTTCCATGAGCATGTTTATTGAAACGTTGAATTTTATGCATGACTAAATGCCATTTCATTGGTAAATTGGTTAGTGACTTTATACAGAGATGCTAAAACATATACATACAATATATAAAAACAGTTTGTATGTACTAACTTCCATGGGATGAGTGCGTAATGTATAGTTTAACTTATGCTATTAGTAGTATTCTGTTTAAAAATCGGATTTTATAGTTTTTTAAACAATATTTAATTATTGAAAAAACTGTAATCAGTAATAGTCACTCTAGTTTCAATACAAAGATATGTAAGCTATGCAGAATACTTATAAAAACGATCCAAATGGAATACTTTATCATTGACTATACTACCTTAAGATATTTTAATAACCCAGTGGCATTAACTGTCATGAAATTACAGAACTTTTTGACCTAGAATCTTCCTAAAGTATAACTTTATGAGTCGTAAACATTATTTAATTTATAGCAGTAAGTATAAGAGATCAATTGTCTTGTCAAATATCTCAGACCATTCATCTCTAAAGTAAAAAGCACCATAGAATAATATTACTTAGTTAAATTGACTAGATTGATTCGAAGAAAGCATTATAGTCAAAAAATACTAAGGTTTAAATCTCACTAATGGTTGACATTTAATGCAAAAATGTTATGACATTTTAACTAACTTATATGGAAGACAGTTCGTATCTATTCAGTATTTTTATACACTTGTGTAAAAGACATTCCCAACTAATAATAAATAATTTCAATGGTTGAAATCATGAGTCAATTGAAGCTAAACCACTATGGAAAACCTGGAAGCACTGAACGGTCGTTTCTCCTACTGTGAGACTGCTCAACAGTGGTCAAGTGGTTAAGTGCTCGCGCGCGAGACTGATAGATCCTAGGTTCAAATCTTTCGAGGCGAGGTCGTGGATACGCACTACTGAGGTGTCCCATACTACAATGAAACGGCCGTCCAGTGTTTCAAGGTTTTCCACGGTGGTCTTGCTTCAATTGATTCATGATCTCAACCATTGAAATTACTATAATATCCACAAAACCCTTCTGATAATAATAAATAAACAAAATATTTTCTTGACATTATTATAGTCTTGCAAATATTAGTAATCACTTATTGGTTTGTGAAAAGTACAAATCTTAATGTGAAATAAACAAAAAATCAAACAATTAACATTTTTCAGTGGTCACAAAATACTTTAATTAGTGAAGATATTAGATTCTTTTGGAATTATTTCAAATCCTATGAATTAGTAATGACAGTGAAATTAGTAGTTTTTCGAATAAGTTTAACCTTATAGTGATAAGTATAGATTTCAGTTAATGTTATCAATGAAGAAGGATAAGGTTATTGAAGCATAAAAGTTTGAATATCCGACAATTAGTTATCAATAATATTGGGTTATATCTAAACATCACATTTTGAGAGATATTTAAACGTTATGATATGTGATAATAAGTATATTTTTTGTGATATTCCAATGAGTAGGAAACAATTGTTTGTGTGTGCTAATTTTATTTTGGTTATATGTTAACTCCGAAGAAATGGCTTACATTAAGTCACAAAACATCAGAAATGCAATTTTCAACTCATTGAGATATCACAAAATAAATATTCAGTATAAAGTTTCTAGGCAATGTTCAATTTATTTAAAACTATTAAGTCCAACTATGGCATTGATACCTACAAACTCATTATTAGTTGAGACATATGGTCAAACGTGGAACTTTTATACTTCGTTAATGATATGTACTAAAATATATAAGTTCGTTTCACTCCATTATACTACAGATTTTAATAAATTTCTTTATAAAAACATGATTCAATATACATATCCAACAGTGGCAAGATCAATAATATAAACTTTTGAGATGTAATTAGTTACTTAATTAATTACTCAGTTACGCCTGTTACCCCCAAAGGAGCATAGGCCGCCGACTAGCATTTTCCAACCCACTCTGTCCTAAGTCTTCCTTTCTAGTTCTATCCAATTGTTGTTAAATAGTTACTTTCATATATTTTTCATGTAACTATTTTAACATAACAGTCAGTAGTCAGTCAGTAACAACATAGAACTTCGTACGTACGTACATCAGTTCGAGTTGTCACACCACATTAGCACAGAGATGCAGTTGTCCATTCAGATCCCGTAGTGGTAGAGGTAATAAGAGTATAAGCAGTAATCGGAAACATTAGGATTTGAAGACGTTATTTAAAGAGTATGATCCAGTGAAGTAAATTTGGAAAGAGGAAAAGAGAGACATTCTCAATCCAGGAGATTGGATCGATGTGCAGAACACTTTAGGGATCAGTTCAACTGGCCTTCAGCCACACTTCGGGTTCCCACGATCTCCAGTCAACCTGAATGGCAAGTTAATGTAGGTCCTCCGTCCCTTTACGAAGTTGAAAAAGCCATAGGAAATCTGAAACGAGGGAGAGCAGCAGGCCCTGACAGGTTCACTCCTGAGATTTTTAAGGATGGTGGTTCAGTATTAGCAATGAGATTAACTGAGGTCTTAGGTAGAATTTGGGAACTGGACGTAATCCCATTTGACTGGTCTCAATCACTGATTGTGCCAGTCTATAAGAAGGGACAAAAGTCCTCATGTGACAATCACAGGGAAATCAGTTTGACTGTTATTTTAAAATAACAAGGTGTTCAAAACAAAGAAATATCTTTAAATGATGTTTCAACATCATTTGAATATGGCTTTGGTATTAACATAGTTGTCGTCGTTTTTCCAGAAGTTAATTCATAATTTTTATTAAAAATGATTATAATATCAAACTTTATAGAATAAAATATTGACTTATTTACTTAAAAACTGTATTAATTATTAAAATGTCACTCACTTGATATAAAACATTTGATTCTGAAACTTTATCATTTAATGTAGCAATAAATTTGAGTATACCATTTTTCGGTTCAATTGTAATAGGTTGTCTTAATGCTGTAGCTATAACTCTAGGTTCATAATCTTGACTAGACATTTTTAAATCAGTTTCACCATCAATTATTGTTCCTTCTTCAGTATTAACATTAATATTATTGGTATCATCTGATTTTTGACTTAAAAGTTTTGGATTAAGTTTATTTATAAGTAGTGGAAGCACAAAGTCATGAAATGATACCTGTATTTAGATAAACAAATATAATAATTTAATTAAATCGTCATAAATGATTTCAAATGTGCGTCTGAATAAAAAAATATGTATTATATTTATTCAAGTGCAAATAAGTAGTACAGAACAACAATATGAGATTTATTTGAATACGAATATTTTAAGACTGTTTATTTAATGCAGAAGGACATGGATAGAAAGTGTGAGACTATAATTTATGGATGACATTTGGGTGACGCTGAAGTGACCTTGAGAGCCGATACCTACTGATAAGGGCTAAATGAGAGTTATAAAGCAGTTAGAATTTTCATTTACAGTTGATGGTTAGCATTAAAAATTAGATTTAGGTTTCTCATTACCAGCTGATATTAACTATAATGCCAAAACTCTATTTAGCTAAATGCATGGATGAATTTCCCGCCAAAATTTGTGACTTGTTATCGTATATTTGATTGGTTCGTCCATAAATTATAGTCTCGCCAATAAGTTATGCAATAATAATGACGTGTAGAAGCAATTTTTAGTTTCTTATTTCAATAATAATCTTTTCTAAAGTTCAGACTACTTTAGGCTGATGGAACAGTCGATATACAGTTCAGTTGACTCATGATTTCAATCTGTGAATTTTCTAAAATCTCCACAAACCCCATCTGATAACAATTATCTGCTCACTAGTGACTGACTTCACGAGATACTCCTGAAGTTCTAGTGAGAAGCCGTTACCAATGGAGCTCAACCAGGTCTGTTGTGAGATATCAGCTCACTGAAGACAATGGTATACGGTGGCGCAACTTCGTAGATTGGTTGAAGTTAGATACTAACGCCATTGGATTCCGGTTCAGTCGTCTATTTGGTTAAGCGCTTGTCGCGAGACTGGTAGGTCCTGGGTTCGAATCTCGCGGGGTGCGGGATCGTGGACGCGCGCTGCTGAGGAGTCCCATACTAGGACGAAACGACCGTCCAGTACTCCCAGGTTTTCCATGGTGATCTAGCTTCAATTGACTCATGATCTCAACCATTGAAATTATTATAATATCCACAAAACCCATTCTGATACTTATTTAAAATTATTAATTCAAATCTCTGTGTTAGAAAACACGATTTCCAATTTTAAATATTAAAAAAGACAGATTTAGAATATACCAGTGAATAATAAATTTATTTAGCATATTTCAATATTAAAAATCATATGTACTGTGTGCTGCCAATGCCCACAGATATAAGTAGCATGTATCATCAAGTGAAATGCCTGGAGTCAGAAGATTAAGAAGATCAAAGAAAAAAGAATGAGAACAGAGAAAGATTAATGTGGAAACAAAAACAATAATGAAGTCTGAGACAATTGAGTATTCACTGTATGGTTATCAGATTTTAATTAGATATTCTATAATTTCACGTTCAAATACACTCGATTCTTCCCACTTGTATTCTCGTTCACTGCTCGTTTAAATTAGTTTTAAATTATGTAAAATATAATATTTACATTATGTTTAAATAGAACAACGTACATCTTTAGGTTTATAGACTAGATAACCAACCCATTTACTTTGAGGTGGTATATGAATATGATAAAGACAGGTTGATTTATCATATTCCAAATAACTGGATGAATGAGGCACTTTGATAGTATTTATAGATATCTTTTCTAATTCTTCTGAATATGAAGAAGAAATAAATTTATTTCTAGTTGAATTATTTCTATTATTAGTATAAATTTGTTCATTCATATATTCATCTAATGAAAGGGAATTTATATGATCGGTAATTTGAAATTCATCGAAATTTTTCAATTGTATTTCTATTAACACACGTGTAATACCATTATTGGTAATCTCAAATGGAAGAGATTTCATTGAACCAATTCTGACACCTGAAAAATAAAGAATAGATGATATTGTCTGTTGTAATGTTCGGACAGAAAAATCAAATCAATGATTCTGTCATTACAATAAAACTGAATCCGACTAATGTACATGTACTCACTCAGTTCATATTTTCATAACTGAGAATTTTCCAGTTAAAGTATTATCATTAAAAGTTTTACTATTTTCATGGTTTAAATCACAAACTGATCCTAGTTAAACCAACGTTAAAAATGTAAAAGCAGCTTATAGACATTTCGTTCAATATCGGGTATTCTTAGTACGGGGATATATGAATTTGCCATTGGAAATCAAACGCACTACATTCAGTCTCAAGCTCAGGCGCTTATTTTCTAGACCACTAAGCTGAGACATAGTGATTTTAATATCCAACTTTGATCAGTTCAAGATATTGTGTAACCTTCATTCATTGGGTACAGTAGATAACAGTCTCATACATTGCGTAATCGATGACCACAAATTTTGTCTGATTCGTGACTGTACTATTATTTGTCGCACGATAAGTAACATAAATTCGTTCTGGTCATCATTACCACAGTTTCAATTGACGTATAAATTGATTCAAGTGAATATTATATACTGGTCATTTTGATATTAAGTCCTTCACTCGTATGCTGGAGTTTTAAAATATGTTTACACTTTGACTGTGACAATTCTTTTGGATCATTTATCTATGCTTATGGGTGAAGAATCTGACGAAAATTTATTGAGAATCATCTCTTTTTTTCAAGGAACGGTGTTTTATTGTCACCGGAATTTTTAATCAAAATATATTCTTAACATAGTTTATATATTGAACCACTTCTAGTATCTATTTCCATTAATCGTTTGAAAACAATCATTCATGTAGCCTACAGATCTACTAATCGATAATATTATCCAACATACCAGTTAATCTTTTTTTCAGGCCTCCTTAGACGTAGATGTTATGATTTGTAAGTGTAGTTAACTGTTGTACCCTCAGCTCTCGTTTTTATATTTAAATTATATAAGATGTGTTATAAAAAATTATCGATTGTTGAAAAGTAAATATAATTAAGTATGGGCATTGAATAAAAAAAGTACTTGAAAATATTTCTCATTACGAGCTGGTATCAGCTAAATAATCATTTGAACCACTGAGGATTAAATAGGTGCTTGATTTCAGTTTGCAACGGTTGCCAAGGGACGCCCACTCTTCGATATTAAGTCATACCAGTAACTATTGTATCTCACGACAAGCTCGATAATCCCAGACCATTGTACCGAAATTCAGTGGTCTGCATACCCAACTTTTGTTAGTTATCACTCCAGAAGGATTCAGATGTCTCATGAAACATTTGTCTAGTGTATCTTAATTTCAACTATTTTCCAGCTGATACCAGCTCATAAAGAACATTGTCGTCAAAATTAACAGTTTTTCAAAACCTAACTAACTAAACAAAAGTAAGGATACTGTAACAAAAAAAACACATGTTTTTATAGTGTTACAACATAACAGGAATAAGATGTATAGATAAAAGAACAACTTGAATCATGCTGAAGATAACGGCTTGTAAATACACTAAATTAAGATTTAACGAACCAAAAATAATCACAACATTAACAGAGGAACACTGTGATAAATTTCTATACCATGAAACATCCTACACATTAAGTGTTTGATGTATGTAAATGATATTAATTTGTCATTTAAGTCCCTATTAAAATTATAACTGTCACTCAATCGATATACTTTGAAGACAGTAACTCATTCGGATATGAATTTATTAAAACATATATGTTCTACATGAAGTGTTCAATGATAAAATTACAAATTGAAGAGTATACAGCATATGAATTGACCATTACTGACAATTGTATAAGGAAATTATGACTGAACTGGAAAGTTCAAAACCATTCAATTGACTCATGATCTCAACTGTTGAAATAACTACAATCTCCACAAAACCCCTTCTGATTCTAATTAAATTAATAGTGACTATTAACCAGAACAAAGTTTACTTTAAACAAAAAAAGTGCAACTTTATTTTTTGATCGTTAATTGATTCTGTGGCTGATGATCGTAATTTATCCACTACTCAACAGGTTTTTTTTCACAGATTGAAATCATGAGTCAACTGAAGCCAGACCACCATGGAAAACCTGAAAGCACTGGACGGCCGTTTCGTCCTAGTATGGTTTTTTTTCTCAACCACTATGTATATTTTATTTGATTTATTGATTAAATATGTTCCACACAAAAGTATTATTAGTGAGATCAATAGCTTTTTATTATTCACATTTATAATGAGGTATTCCTAGTCCTATATGTAGTATAATTCTATAACCATTTATCATGATCATCAACTAAATAATGTTTATACATATTTATTCATAGATTCAATTCAATAAAAGAATAAACTTTTCCGGATAAAATCATCTGGTTGATAACTAACTATAGTCAATTCATAAGTGGTACAGAAACTTTATCTCGTCTGTTGAAGGTCATGGAAAGTTTGGTTGAGGGAATAAATGAAGAAAAACAACATTCTTCATGAAGCTCAACATGGGTTGAAAAATGTCAGATCCTTCGCATAGAGTCTTTTCCTAGCTTAAGACAGGTTTAAGACTTGGTGAGATCAAAAGATATCGGTTCATGTAAAATTCCTCAACTTTGCAAAAGCTTTCGACAAATTAACGTAAATACCAATTAAGGACAAGTTTGCGAAGGTGGATTTCATTGATGTACTGATATTGTGACTTTGAAATTATCCAGAGAGCAAGATATTCTGCACCAAGGTAAACAAAGAGCATGCGAGCTGCAAAACCTGTAAATTAGGAGTTCCACAATATATCGCTTCAGGTCTACTCTTCTTCCTAGCATCTATTAACGATCTCTTAGATTAAACTAGCATAGCGACCCTGATATATGCTGACGACATGAAGGCATAGAAGTTCATAAGAAGACAAGAAAAGTCATTTAAGCACCCTAAAGAAAATCAAAACAACAGGGAAATTTAAGCTGTTGATATATTGTGTTATGAACATTCATCTCCATGGCACATGCAAAACTTACGTCGTCTTTTATTATCCTCGCACAACTATCCTCATAGAACTATTAAACATGGAGAGTTTATACACCGGCGTAAACTAAATTTGGGTTAGGTCTAAAACAAATGCAACTCAACCTTTTCTTACTCTTCTTGTAAAATCTCTGTCTAAATGTTACAATTTTGTATGATCATATTATTTGAATAACCAATGGATTCATTCATTTACTTCTTCTGACCTTCTACTCTACTTCGCTCTTCTGGATTCAATTTCCTGCCATCGTTTTTCTATTGCAGCTTATCAGCTTTCTACATGATAATTGGATAACTGCTGATTACAGAAAACCTACCGCCCTATGACAAACGCAGACACTCAAACTATAAGGTAAATAAACACAAAAATAACTACCAAGCTGACTAGAACTAGTCCGATTGAATGGTAAGAATACCACCACATACAACATCACCAAAAGCCGGAGACAGTACTAAAAACAACAAAAAGTGAGTTTATTAACACGGTTGGATGCTGGCTCAATGATCCGAAGGTTAAGCGTTCGCACTTGAGACCGTTAGTTCCTGGATTCGAATCCCGCGGGGCAGGATCTTGGATACATACTGCTGAGGAGTCCCACAATAGGACGAAAAGACCGTCCAGTGCTTCCAGGTTTCTCAGGATTTTCTAGCTTCAATTGACTCATAATCTCAACTATAAAATATTTATTTACTTGTACTGTGTGTTATAAAATATAGTATAAGAATATATAAAAATTTTAATGTTCTTATAAAAAAGATATATATAGGGAAATCATACCACTTTGTGAATTGATTCCCTAGTAAATAGAAATACAAAACAATAATTTTATTGAAGTGATTAATGATTTAGAGTAGTGATTATGGATTTTATTATTTACATTTTAGAAAAAGGATTTAATGTTGTTACGTGTCGATTTCATTCAAAATGTTTGCTTTTCATAAGTTTCTTATTGAAGATGTTTTGAACCTAGTTCATAATTTCATGGTTACAAAGGTAATGGATTTTATTAGATTTATTGTTTCCATGTAGAATGTTAATGAATAGGTAACTAGACAATCCTGTTTGTTATTTTTGTGAACAAAAGGTCTAGAAATGAAATCTTAGATTACATGAAACAGGTAGATGGATGATATTTATAAAATATATTCAGTAGAGATCCAAAATAACGGCTCTTCTCACAATCAAAATATCATCAACAATGTGTCCACACAGGAGACAGAAGGTTCTGGGTTTGAGTTACTTGTGCGAGGTCGTCGATGAACACTATCGAGGGGTTCCTTACTAAGACTAAAGAGCTGTCCAGCGCTTTCGAGTTATCATCGGTGGTCTAACTTAGATTGGCTCGTGGTATAATCCTGTGTTTAGCAACTTCGAGTGACACAGTGTGAAACCGATCACAGTGATGCAACTGTAATCTTTATCAATGTTATCCAAAAGTTAGATCTAGTGTTATTCTATATATTTCATTCTTCGGTTTCATGTATTTCTTTGAATTATGCTTCTCATAAATGACTTTTTTACATTTGATATTATTTCCCTACATATGTTTCATCTATTGTAATGCTTCTCACTTATTATGTTTAATTGAAGTGTAAAAACATGTGGCTATACATATTTATCCTACATTTCAGTTATAATGACTGACTGACTAGATGATCTTACTCAAAGATGTAAACTAACTGTAGTACCCCATATAACATTTTCCTTCATAATATTTTACTTATTATTGGCTAAAGTTTTTTTTAATTAACAAAAGTGGACTATGAACAATCAAATGCATTATTGATTCTTTTATTTATTCTGTATTTAGTATTATTTTTAATATTTTTTTATATACTAATCCTTATCATATTCATAAACATTCAGGTAATTCTTATATAAAATGTGGTGTGTGCTACTGATGTCCATAGATATAAGTAGTATATATCATCAGTCGGGTGAGAAAAACGAAAATGGAGAAAGATTTGCAAATCTGTGTGCATTCAACAAATTGGTCATAGGAGGCACAATATTTCCACACAAACGTAGACACAAAGCTACATGGATCTCACCGGACCTCACCACAGAGAACCAGATAGATCATATTTGCATCAACAAAAAATTCCGAAGGACAATGGAAAATGTGAGAACCAGGAGAGGAGCTGACATAGCTTCAGATCACCATCTAGTTGTGGCCAATTTAAAACTGAATTTGAAAGAAGAACTGGACAACTGGACAAACAGCATTACAAAGGTTCAATACAGTATTCCTTCGAGATACTGACAAACTCAATGAATTCAAGATAGCTCTCAACAACAGGCTCTAAGCCTTACAGGGTCTACTGAAGGAGGAAGAAACGGCTATGGAGGACAACTGAAAAGGTATCAAAGAAGCATTAACTTCAACGTGTCAAGAGGTTCTGGGCCTCAGCAAGCATCATCATAAGGAATGGATCTCTATAGAAACACTGGACAAGATCAAAGAAAGGAAGAACAAGAAGGCAGCAACTAACAACAGCCGAACACGAGCAGAGAAAGTCCAAGCACAATCTGAATACATAGAAGCAAACAAGGAAGTGAAGAGGAGCATTAGAGCCGACAAGAAGATATGCGTGAAAGAACTAGCAACGACGGCGGAAAAGGCTGTAAGAGAAGGAAGCAGAACACACAGATCTCTCTATAGATGTCAACCCACCAACGACGGAAGAAATCAGAATGACCATCAGACAAATCAAGAACGGGAAAGCAGCAGGACCTGACAACATACCAGCTGAAGCACTGAAATCAGATATCGAAGTAACTACAAACATGCTTCACCTTCTATTCAAAAAGATTTGGGAGGAGGAACAAGTGCCGATGGACTGGAAAGAAGGACACCTCATCAAAATTGTAAAGAAAGGAGATGTGAGCAAATGTGAAAACTACAGAGGCATTACACTACTGTCAGTACCAGGGAAAATCTTTAACAGAGTTTTGCTGAACCGGATGAAAGATGCAGTAGACGCCCAACCTCGAGATCAACAGACCATATTCCCTAGGGATCGGTCGTGCACAGACCAAATTGCAACACTACGGATCATTGTCGAACAATCAATTGAGTGGAACTCGTCACTGTACATCAACTTCACTGATTACGAAAGGGCGTTTGACAGTGTAGGTAGGAGGACGTTATGCAGACTTCTTCGACACTACGGAGTTCCTCAGAAGATTGTCAATATTATCCGGAACTCATACGATAGACTACAGTGCAAAGTAGTGCATGGAGGACAGCTGACAGATGCATTCCAAGTAAGGACCGGAGTCAGACAAGGCTGTTTAGTCTCTCCCTTCCTCTTTCTTCTGGTGGTCGACTGGACTATGAAAACCTCGACATCTGAAGGAAAACACGGAATACAATGGACAGCTCAGAATCAATTAGACGATTTGGACCTCTCAGATGACCTAGCCGTCCTATTGCGTACACACAAACAGATGCAGATAAAGACAGTCAGTGTAGCAGCAGTCTCTGCATCAGTAGGTCTCAGCATACACAAGAAGAAAACCAAGGTCCTCAAATTCAAAGCGGAGAACAGCAATCCAATAACTCTTGATGGCGAAACTCCGGAATATGTAGAATCCTTCACATACCTGGGAAGCATAATCGATGAACAAGGAATTTCAGATGCAGACGTAAAGGCGAGGGTTGGCAAAGCAAGGACATCATTCCTACAATTGAAGAACATATGGAACTCAAAACAACTTTCAACCAATATCAAAGTGAGAATCTTCAATACGAATGTCAAGGCAGTCCTACTGTACGGAGATGAAACTTGGAGAACTACTACAACCATCATCAAGAAGGTGCAAGTATTTATAAATAGCTGTCTACGCAAGATACTCAACATCCATTGGCCGGATACCATCAGCAATAGCTTTTTGTGGGAGAGAACAAACCAGCTTCCGGCTGAAGAGGAAATCAGGAGAAGACGATGGAAGTGGATAGGAAATACATTACGCAAATCGTCAAACTGCATCACAAGGCAAACCCTAACTTGGAATCCTGAAGGGAAACGGAAAAGAGGAGTGCCAAAGAACATATTACGTCGGGAAATAGAAGCAGATATGAAAAAGATGAATAAGAACTGGAAGGAGCTGGAAAGGATTGCCCAAGACAGGGTTGGATGGAGAATGCCTATGTTCCTTCATGAGGAGTAACAGGCGTAAGTAAGTAAGTAAGTATATCATCAATCAAAAGTGAAATGTCTTGCGGCAGAAGTTCAAAAAGATCTAAGAAAAGAGAAGAAGAACAGAGTATGATTGGTGTGGAAATGAAAGAACAGTGAAGTTTGAAACAATTGGTTGACATTTTGCAAATGAAGTATTTATTGTATGGTTCTCAGATTTTACCAAGATGTTCTGTAATTTTATGTTCAAATACGTTCGATTCTCCCTACTTGTGTTCTTGTTTACTTCAAATGAACTTATGTAACTACGATTATTGTTTTCTTGGTTTACAAAAAGTTAGAAATATCATAAAAATTATATTAAATGAATGTATTTCAATCCTTTCTGTATCAGATTATTGAAATGATAAAAGTAAATGGTTAATTATTCATCCATTTAAGAACAGATTTTTATAAAACACGAAATTGTTATTTCACTTGTTGAAATCATGAGTCAATTGAAGCTAGACCACCATAGAAAACCTGAAAGCACTGGACGGCCGTTTCGTGGAGTTCAACCAGGTCTGTTGTGAGATAGGAACTCACTCAAGACAATGGTGTACGGTGGCGCAACATCGTGGTTTGGTTGGAGTTAGACATTAACACCGTTGGATGCCGATCAGCTCAGTGGTATAGTTGGTTAAGCGCCTGGCGCGAGACTGATAGGTCCTGGGCTCGAATGTCGCGGGGTGCAGGATCGTGGATGCGCACTGCTGAGTCGTCCCACAATAGGACGAAACGACCGTCTAGTGCTTCCAAGTTTTCCATGATGGTCTAGCTTCAATTGACTCATAATTTCAATAAGTGGAATTTCTAAAAAATCTTCACAAAACCCATTCTGATACTAAATTGTTAAACTGAATTGGATATATTTTAAAAATGTTTTAGATATAAGTTTACTAAATCCATGATTAAATCGTCTAAAATTCATGACATAGAGTTGTGTGTAGTATAGTTGAATGCATTTGAACTGTTTCCTCTGTAGAGCACAATTTGAAATTAACAATTACATGACGATAACAAAAGGAATAATTTCCTATTCATGTATGTTGGTTATTATCGATATTATTACTTTCAATAAAAAAAAACGTCAGAATATATAGAGGAAAAATACTGAAAATGTAAACTTACCACCAAATTCGAAAGTGTTCGGAATTAACTGAATTTGTGGTTTAAGTACAGTTCCACATACGGATAAATTAAAATCCTGACGATCATATGTACTTAATGTTATAGATGATTCAAATTTACCCAATCCAACTGGTATACAGGTGACCTTAATTTAAAATGAAAGAATAAATTACTGTTGAATGATATTTTTCTGATAAGTTAAATGGATAGTGATATTGTGCGGAAAAACGATTTTATTTACGATCGGTAATAGGAAGCTCTATATTTGTTCACTGTACTATTTATCTTTCACCATTTCATGAACATTTGACTGAAATTCCAACTATCAAGGAAATATTATGATCACATGTTGGTACTGTAAATATGTGGATGAGTGTAATATGATAGAACTGAGTAAAGTAAATGCACTGCTTGATGTAAGATCCCTGAAGTTCTCATCTATAACGTCCTAGTGCACAATTCGATATTTTATGCTGAACATAGTCATGTTCACACCTTGTAACTAATAAACTATTTAGCATGTTCAGCATATACTCGGATACTGAAATATCAATTTTTAATTGAGTGAAATATTCTGAATAATTTGTAAACGAAGACTTATTTAGTAATTCTGAAATGAATCTGAGCATCAGATAGAATTTATGTGTTTTTCTCTGAACGATGTTTAAGGATTATCTCTTATAATCTTGAATGATTAGAGAATGAGTGACCTACAAATTGATTTCTTCCAATCTCTTACTACATCATATCATATTTATTTCATGTTCAAATTTTGTGTAAAAGTATGTTACCATATCAATAAAGGAAACATATTCTCTAGACAAGTGATCTCGTTTTCGACTTCAAATTATTTGTCAGGATTATGTCAATAATTTAGTCTCTTGAGTGGTACAGATAGTGTCATTATGTTCGTCTATCGGTCAGCAGTCTGTTCATTGAATTTGAAAATCGAAAGTTCGTTTATTTAATCATGTAAGTTTCACATATCAACAATCTCTTTCTATTAGACCCATAGAACGTTAGAATCATTTTCTTGCTTATAATCAAAGTACAAAATGCAAAGTATTTATGAAATTGCTCTAGAAATCATTTTATCATCGTTACATAAATCAGAAGAAAATTAACTATTTCAGGATGGTAAGATCACACGTAATCAGTTGGTCTGATATGGTCATACTGCGACGACCACAAAATCAGGATTTTAAATTATTTTTAGCTCACTAAATCCTTTCGCGGTAAGTTTAGGTCAGATTTTTAGCAAAAACCTTTCTCAATCTTTTTATTTGTATGACATACATTCACAGGACATAAAAAAAGTCAAGAAACGCTGATTATATTTTCATTACCTACCTACAGTAATTTAGGCATTCGATCGATTATGTATACAGATGGTCAGTTCGACTAAACGTATGTTTGTATCTTAATTTTTATCTCTTCCGTTGTTGTTTGTAAAGACAGTCAATCAGTAGCTTGAATCACGTATTAATTCACATTATCATCAAAATACATACTCATACTCAATCATTATTCTTCTTAACTGCTAAACATATTCTCGAATCACACTGTAAATAACTTTGTATTAGAAGTACTCACGTCATTAATAACAACTCATTTGAAGTTTTAATGAACGCAACCATTTCATAGTTATTTTGGAAGTATTGTATGACATTTTCTTATCTAAACCCGAAGTTGCAGTATTTGTAAGTATCCTCATGTATAGATTTTCAGAGGCCATTTTTCCCTCCTTATTATGAATATTCCTACTCTTGGTTTATTACAACAGTGATCAGTGAATACCGTGAAAGTAATAAGACCTAACGTCTAACGAAAGTAATTGATAACTAAATACATACCTAGTAATTCTCACTTGAAGTACTATTTTTTGGTTACCTTGGATTTAAATCTTTTAGAGAGGAAAGCAAGTGGTTATTATTGTAACAATGCTCATAAAGTAGCTTTGGAGGTATCTGCAGTAAGTACTAAGGGTGATTCATTGATTCGTTTCACCACTAGTGTTCGGATGTTTAATGCTTCTTCAGCGTATCCAAAAGGTCGAATAGCTTCAAATTTCACTTCTGACCAACTTTTAACCTGAATAGTTTTTTTCTCATGTATCCTGGCAAAATAGGCTCTACAAATAATATGTTAAGAAATGCTTTCTACAGATGCGCATATTTTCTAGTTATTTTATAGGATCTAGTTGGTAAGTGTTAGGATAGTCGGAAAAATATACCAATAATTATCGTGTTAAGTCTATGGTGGCCTTGGACCTTGAATGTACACTCCCTATTGGTCGATATTTGTTTCACTTGTTAAATATTGTGTAAATGTTGTTTTCTATTTTATGGTACGATGTGGTTTGTTTGTTTGGTATATAAACAGAGTATGTCTGAAATATAACGATTCATAACTCAGAGGCTGTAACTTGCGTTCTAGACTCAACTGGCTGGGCTAGACAGGGAAGCGTGACCAATCATATAAGTGAATAAGATTATTTCTAACCAGATGTTCATCAGGCTTTATTCTAGCATACAATAATATTTAGATACACATATAAAAAATACTAAGCCGACCAAGTGAATTTGAAAATTATGTAGGGATCATAATGCATTTAGAGTACTTAACAAGTTCCTGAAATTTCGTTACAAACATTTTATACAACAAGACTTCTATTTGAAGTTTGTTCTGATGATGTTGTTCAGAAGAACGATGAAAGCTACACGACCAAACCATCCAGCTCAGAGAACAAAGCTCTATCAAAAACAAGAAAAGTGTTTTACTAAAAAACACATTACCTTTAAAGTTGTCTCACCACCAACTGGGATTTCCCCTTCTATCGGACTAACTTGAATTTCAACTCTTGCTGGTAATGCTCTTGATAATCTATGCATATAAGATGGAATACTACCGTTATGATTTATGGCACTTTTAAATTCTTGGTTAATGTAAAATAGAATAGGATTTTGTCCTAAATTAAATATAGTTATCTGACGTGTATAAGGTAGCCCATGGGCTACTGATCCAAGTGGTAGTCGACGTGTAGAAAACGATAATTTACTAGGTAATAGTTTTGCAATACATGATAATTCCAATACTTTGTGATTAACATCAAATTTATTTATTGTTGTAGACAATGTATTTAATTGGTCATCATTTTGATCTAGTAAATTTAAATGAAATTTGCCTTCCATTATAGTGTTAATATTTGGATAATAAACAATTTCACAATTTAATGAAGAAAATGGTTCTACTACACCTAGAAAGAAGAAGAAAATGAACTGTGATTATTTCTATAGAATAAGAATGTGTAAATATTGTCAAAATTGAAGTTCCGATAATAAACTTGAAATTAAACACAAATTGTGCGAATACAAGTGAAATAAAATCAAATTTTGTCCCTATTACACATTGGATTCTATCAACTATTCCAATGTGGTCATTAGTCTAAGTGATTGAATATCACCCGGAGTACCTTTGGTTGTTTACTGGTTGTATTTACTAAGTAACAAAACCACTTAACAACTCATTGATAACATCTTGAACTATGAAGACGAGCAACGCTGGTTTAAATGCAAAAGAGTGTTAATTTCCTCGAAATTTCACTTACGCCATTTTGATGAGTACCACTGGTAGGAAATCTAGATTTAAGGATTCCTATCGACTATCTCTAAACATAAAACAATATCGTATATAGTAAAAGCCTTACAAAAATGAATTAAATCTAGCTCGGTTATAACTCAATGCTGGGCAATACATTCCATATTGCTTTAAGCCATTTACAAACAATTTATGGTATAAATTTAATTTACTGACAAGGCAATCAGAGTTAAGTTAGAGGATATTGGTTTTTCGAATTAAATCAACTTGGAGATTAAACTATTTTTTATTTATAAGTGCCAATACACGGTGAAAATGAAATGGTGTGAAGTAACATAGAATTTAAATGTAACTTCTTTTACAGATACTGAAACACAGTCTAATATGAATTTGTTCCCTTGTTAAAACTTTCAATCAAGTACTTATTAATTTATTAAATAATATGCAATTTTGTTGATTGGTTCCCAGATCATTGTGTTGTAATGATTTGTTGTTTATCTTTCAAAGTATCTGTCCATAAACATCGTGAAAACTATGAGAAATCATCCATAAAAGCATCTGTGACCTGTTAAACTACTCAAACATGTACTGATCACTCAAGTGTATGAGATTTAGTGGAAATTCCCATCCTAATATTTGGTCAATAAAGAAGGAACGAATCGAACGAAGAAGTTTTTTTTCAGTTAGTTTTCTATCATGACTCCACATTAATATAACAGAACACCATCCGTCTTGGTTGAGCAAAGGATAGGTAGTAGTGATTAAGACTTCTATTCTAGCTCACTTGGTGGACACAGGTCATCAAGTTGAGTTGAATAAAGGTGTTAAGGTTATCCACCATATCCCATTAAATATACCACATGGTTTACGAATTTGTCTTTTGTACATTGCTTAAGCCATCGGAATCCATATTCACAAGTCAAACCTTTGCATCCAAAAGAAGTTTGTACAACCACTCTCTCAACCTAAGCCATTGGTATAAGGGTGAGTTTGTAGCAGAACTTTGACAAACTATTTTCGTATTTATTCCACTTCTTGTATTTTACCTATTCTTGATTCTTACATAACTATTATATTACTGACCATTCATCAAAATATTTTGTTAATTCTTTCTTCTTTTTTATATATCATACAACTTAGCAACTGTTTGATTTTTCGAATATCTACTTTGTTTATTATAATCCTCTTTCTTACAATTACTGAATGTTAGTTTAGTTATTAGTTTAGTCATTATATAATTATTATGTAACGTGTCTACTCGATGAGTGTTATTTCATTACTTAAATCATACAGGTATGAAATTTGTTAGAAAATATCATCTCTTTTAAGATGATAAAAGATAAATTTAAAATTATGCACAAGAAGTCATGCATATTCAATTTTTTTTACTTTTCGAGCAACAGATTCGGTGAAACTATAATTTATGGACGACCTTTGAGCGAAACCAAGGTGACCTTGAGAGTGTCTACCTACTTAATAGGGCTAAATAAAGGTTATAAAGCAGTTTGAAGAATAAAGACGATGATTTACAATTGATGGTAAGGGTTAGGATTTAGATTTATTGTTCACATCACGAACTGACAGCAGCTAAAATGCCTAGACGCTATTCGGACAAATGGGTGAATGAATTTCAAGACCTGCTATCCTAAATCTGATTGGTTTGTCCATAAATTATAGTCTTGACTATTTTAGTAATTCCAATATTTGAAATCATGGGTCGTGGATTGATTAAATTCAGAAATTAACACCATTCGATGCCAGCTCAGTGGTCTAATGGTTAAGCGCTCGCGCGCGAGACTGATAGGTCCTGGGCTCGAATCTGGCGGGGGGCGGGATCGTGGATGCACACTGCTGAGGAGTCCCATACTGGGATGAAACGGGCGTCTAGTGCTTCCAGGTTTTCCATTGTGGTCTAGCCTCAATTTACTCATGATTTCAGTCATTGAAATCAATCTTCTTAAACAGGTGAAGTTCAGAAATCTATTATTAAATATGATACCAGGGCTAATTGTTTTCGGGTATTGGTAGGATAACTTAAAATCATTAGATCTTTCGATTAGTTTGAAAATTCTAAAACTGCACCACGTATAGATAAATTTTTTTCTAGATCAGCATAAACACTTGTATTGAATCTCTACGAAAAATTTAGAGAACTGAAGAAAACAATAGGTCCTCACCTTTTTTTGGGCATATTGTAAAAGGATTTTGATCGCCTAATGTTTGCCAACAAAATCTTGCGGAAGCATGTAACGGATTGTGCAATGTAACATATCCAGGCATGCCAGTTGTTCTAATTAAACCATATGATAGATTAGCAGAAGTGAGTTCGACGGTAGACGGTGTAAGATTCAGTTGAATTGGTACGACTGTTGCACATATAACCAGGTTACTTTTATGTTGATCATTTAATAAGAAACTCAAATTGCTAAATTTGTGTTTAAATAAATTACAGAAATATTCGATTAAATTTTTAGAATATTTTTTATCGTTTATTGAATAGAGAAGTACATAAATTTATTTCTTTTATAAAAACATTTCCATTTTACAGACTATATTGACCGTTAAATGATCAATAGTAATATGATTATATTATGTTACTATAAGGTTGTATCTTGACTAGCTTATTGTTTGTCCGTAGGATAAAATATATCATATTTCTTTATTAATTGACTATAATATCGTACGCCGAGAAATGGAGACAGACATGAGAAGAATGAACAACAGTTGGATAGAACTAAAAAGGAACGCCGGGGACAGAGTGAGTTGGAGAATGCTGGTCGGCGGCCTATGCTCCGTTGAGGGGGAGGGTAACAGGTGTAAGTAAGTAAGTAAGTAAGTAATATCATACTATTCTATTGCTGAGCAAATAATATGGTGAATTTTGGTAATAATAAGTTTTAACCTTATTTATACATAAGCATCGTAATTCACTTTCAGATGAAGTTTTATTGCAAATTGATAAAACTAAAACAATTCACTTTGTAAGTTAATTCTTAAGGAAAACATTAATTTCGAGTAATATGAGATGATGCAATTAATAACCTTAAGTTAATAGTCCTAATATTAACTTGTGGATGAATTGACTTTCATTTACTGGAAGCCAAAATAAGCGCCCAAGGATGCCAAATAAAATGAGTTAGCTGAGTTTTTTGTTGCATACTCAGTGTATTATTACAATGTGGAGATGTCTGACATACGAGCGATAAACGAGAAAACTAACTATGGTTTATAATATGGAGCTCTGTGATATAGTATGTTACAATTTTAAAATATTTCGGTGGATTTTGATCTCTGGATAGTTTATTCGCGAAGCTGTAATTGTCTAACTAAACAAAATTTAACCAAAATCACCCACTTAAGCTACATATACTTTCAACCTTTTCAGAATTATACAACATTGAATTTCTTTTCTAGTTTAATGACACGCATAATTGCCAATTTTGAAAATTCTCAGACAAAATATTTTCCAAAAATGTGTTTCAAACATTCTAGTCAATTATCTGAATGCTTGGGTGTCTAAAACAATCTTACCCTGGTAAATCTTAATGGTCTTAAAAAACTCTTTTTTAATGATAACGTTATCCGTTTGTTTTAATTATTTTGTCGTAAATCATAATACTGCCGACCCGCTGTCAATAAATAGCCATAAGAGTAGGTACATAGTTAAGTGAATGAAAGAATAGAATGCAAAAATGAACATCACTAAGAAAATCACAGTCAAGGATCATGTACTTCTATATTGAATCAGTATGAAAATTTTTTGCTTAAAAGACAAAACATTTTAGTTTTCGTAGTCCCGACAATACTGACTATCATTAAATCCATCATGGATTAAAAAGCATCAACATAAATGAATACTTGAACATTAAGAACGTCCTAGGTATCTTTAGAAATCTCTATAGGGCACTCTACTTTTACTGAAATCAAAGTTTGAAAACTTGGAAATTTTGAGATAATAATGGAAACTTAGAGATTAAAGTTGTACGCTAACTAAAAGATGTCACATTAATGACGTACAAATTTTAATCACTGTACTTGAAACTAGTAACTAGTATTGATTTTATTAGCCTGTAAAACACGAAAGTAACAAAAATTCATGAAAACTGTCAAGAAAGAAAATTATATCTTGATAATTTCAGCCTTCATTAAAAAACTTTCAAATTACTATACAACAAATGAGTTTTTCAATGTTTTATTTAAACATTGCCTCTCAGAATAATTTAATCAAACTGCGGTATAAAACAGAAAGTAGCATCTAAAATTGAAGAAAATATTCCAAATATTATTCATAGTTCTTAGAAGCACTAATCTAAAACGGTTAAATGCAACTATTGACCTGTAGATTTCACATGACTTGAATTCAGTTGTTCGCCATGAGATATGTTATATCTAGAGCTTAAATTCATGCTATATTGCGTAGTACTTAAGCACTTGAACGCGACAGCCCTTCAAGTCGCAAATTAGAAGACAGAAGAATGTTATTCCAAACAGTGTCAAATATGATACAAAACAATCAGGTATGTATAGTTTTTAGTAAAAATTAAATTATCATTACAGTCACCCAATTTGCGTACAGTGATTTTTAACATTTGTCCAATGGGGAAGATACATGTCGAGATTCTGGAATGTTCTTCCAAAAGATGATTAGATGGAATATCTTCGGCTCTTTCTGAGCTTCTTAGAGCTTCCTTGAGTTCACTGAGGGGACGTCATCTTAAGATAAAACATCAGTGATGATAATTTACCACAATATTTTATCACTGAAATAGTAGGATATAGTCATTTTGTCCTATCTTGAAAAAATGCCTTTGTAAATGTACAGCTCTCTCACTACATTATTTACAGTTATAATTGATTTTATGATTTACTTATAATTGCGATTGTGGTGCGTGCTACCTATATTAATGTAAGTAATATATGATGCGAGTCAGGAGTGTAATGTCTGGCAGCAGAAGATGGGGAAGATCAACAAAGGAAGGACGGGAATAGAAAGCAATTAGTATGGAAATGCAAGAACAATGAAGTTCGAGACAATTAGTGAACAGTTTTCAAATTAAATATTATAGTATGGTTTTTCTATTTTATCAAGTAACTCTGTAATTTTGTGCTAAATATAATTCGGTTGTCCCCACCCGTGTTCTGCTGACTACGCCATTACTAATTCCATTGGAAAGACATCCTTTGACTATTACTACAGTGTATAGTTTGAGAGAAAAAAACCATGAGTGGACTTACCATTGAAAGTTAGACACTTTTTTAATTTTTATTGTAATTGGTATTTCAAGTGTTGATTTTGGTTGAACTACATAAGTTCTTATGGTAGTTGGCTTCAATTCTTCAAGAATTATATCCAATTTTATTGAAATACATTGATTTAATGGATTTTTTATTGTAACAAATTTTGTTGATTCCACATTTGGACAAATAGTTCCATAATCAATATTTATTGGAACTATAGACAAAATGACAATAAAGAGATTATAGAAGATTAAAAATATATTCATGATGCAGTGATTTCCACACTGAATTACTACTATGGTCTAATAAACTACATTATTTGTATTTCTACCTTCGTTTCTAACATTGACTATTATACTTTTTAGTATTTTGTTAATTTTCTAAATATATCGTTTGTATTTGAATTGATTGTTCTCCAGATTCTGAAAAGTTCTGTTTTATTTATTGAATGAGTGGTTTTAGATCGGTTGATGAATTGTGGCTTTTTTTAATTTTCAGTCATTCGAAATTTGTCGATTATGTGGCAAGGAACAACAGTTTAAACCTAAATCCATATTCAATTATGAATTAAAATCTATCTAATCTAATAGTTGAATTGATGAGCCGATGCAAGCAAGATCATCAATCAAAACCTGAAAGTATTAGACGGGCATTCAGTCGTAGCATGGGACTTCTCAGCAGTGCACATCCACGATCCTACATAACGGACTCAAACCATGAGCCTCCGATCTCGAGCGCGAACAATTAACCTCTAGACCACTGAGCCTAGATCCAACGGTGTTAATGTCAAACTTCAACCAATCCATGGTATTGCGCGACCATATTCCATCGTCTTCGGTGGGTAACTGTTATAACTTGTGACCTGTGTGCCCTGGTAATGTATAACGTGGTGATACCACCAATTAGAGAACAGTAATTTATCGACCGTACCAATGAAGCATAAAACACGTACGAGCAGCCTAGAGTCCTTATCGGTCCCGCTTCCAGCCAGTTAAGTCCAGAACACCAATCTCAGCCTCTGCAATACGAATCATTTATTTCAAGCATACTGGGTTTATATACCAACCAGACAGACCACACCGTAGCATAAAATAGGAAACAACATTTGTACACAATTTAGCCAAAAGTGGTTGTGAATGTGGGAAGTAGTAATCGATAAACTGCGCATAACTTAAGAATGGTAAATAGCATAATAACGGTTCATAGGTCAACATCAAGCTTATGGTAAGGGGGACACATATATCAATAGTTTAGTTACTTAAAAATTATACGATAAAAATATACGTATAGTATTGGTCTATAAATGGGTCCCAAAAGTTACAATTCATTATTCTCATTGGGATATAACAGTAGCTACTTCACATTCGACACGCTAGAACTCCATTGATTACGGTTTCTCACTAGAACTTCGAAAATTACCTCTTAAAGCTAGTCATTGGTGAGCACATATATTTTCGAACTTGTATTCCTATTTCACATTATATTGAACAAGTAGATGTTATTCATCATAACATTCTGATAGTTAAGTATCATATTCATAGAACCATCTTTACAAAAATACGCTAATGAATCTAGCATTAATCTTCTAACGAAATCAAAGGCAAGAGAAGTTATTCTCTTCACTGTTCAACTTATTATGTTTAACTATATTACAGATGATGACAGTTACTAAGAATTTAAATAAAATGTATTCATTATTTTCTGTAGAAGAATAACGTGTATATAGGAGGAAATGTCTATTATAATAAGCTATATCGTTATGAAAATCTAATTCTTGTGCAAAAACAGTAATTCAAAATAAAACTTACAAATAGATAGTTCATTTATATCACTAACAGAAAGTTTACGTTTACATTCATCACTAACTTTCTTCTTGGTCACCATTTTCAATGATAGAACTCGTTCAGGCTATTAAAAATAATTACAAAGCGAACGTTTAAAGATGTGAAATGTCTATAACAATGAAAATAAGCTTTATAAGAGATAAAAATAAAAGTATAGAAGATCTATTGAATATGTTCGTCAATTAAAAGTCTTCATAATTTACAATGTATTCAAACACTACTAATCGACACTTACAGATATTAATGTGCATAAGTGATACATAAGTAAATAATTGAAATAATACCGTCTGTTGTCGGTTCAGTGGTCCAGTGGTTAAGCGCTCGCGCACGAGACCGATAGGCCCTTGATTCAAATCTCACGGGGAGGGGCAGGATCGTGGGTGAGCACTGCTAGGACGAAACGGGCGTCCAGTGCCTCCAGGTTTCCCATAGTGGTCTAGTGTTAACCGACTCATGAATTCAACTATTAAATTAATATAATAAAGTATTTCTAGATAATGCGAAACAGTAATAAAGTATGGTTTAATGTGTGTTACCAATTTTGCTTATATTATTGAAACTTGAGAATATGTTTTACTCAATGTAAAAGTTTTATTTGAATGAATACTAATGATTGAAATTTAAATAGTCCCCATGTTTCTCTTAAGAAACTGTATCAAGCTTCTTCATAAGGATAATGGAAATTTTGTTTTCATTCTACTAAAGGAGTGTTTGTCAGCTTATGAAGAGAAACGTTGGAATTATATGAATATTGATTATAGAGTTTATTTCAAATATATTGATTACATTTAATGTATTTCTATATATTACTTAGTTCCCAGTTCCTATCAAACTAACCATTGAAATTTCGATAAAATATTCATATAAATATGTTTTTAAGTGTTACATCACCTACAGAAATGTTGGTGGATTGATATAAAAAGAAAAGATAGTCATTTCAATAATATTCTGCTATATGAATATTTCAAGATGAATTATTAACGATGAATTGAACTCATTATTAAAGATTCTGATGACGATTGTCTAGGTTCTTTTCATTGATTTCTTACCCTTTGTAATTCTGATGATTTAGTTTTAAACACTTAACAGCATACAAATGATGTAAATCATTCAACGAACTGAAGGGATTTTATTTATCAGGATACTACTAATACGAATACATTAAAAATAACGTTGATGAATTTAATAAACACTTTCGACAGTAATGTAGTTTTCATCTTTACTGATTCTTTTTTAACATTAAACGAATTATTAAGAGTAGATAGATGATTTTAATAAACATTCGCCTATGAATTATGTACTAGGAAATTCAAAATATCACACTTTTCTGAAATAGACACTAAAATAAATCCAAGACTAATAATAACAAGTGGTAATCAAACTGAAAAGTATTTTCAATCGTATTTTCAATCATTCAGCTACAACATAGGACCAGTCGCATATATACATCGGTTCAAGTTGCCATATCTCATTAGTAGAACAAGATGAACACTGAATTCATAGAAGTAGTTACTTCAATGATAAGAGTATATAAAAGAAAGATTGTGTATACGGATGTAATATAGTATTATAATCTTCAACAATAATGCGGCGAAACTCTAATTTATGGACGAGTCAATCAGAAGCGTCTGGGGAATTTCAAGGTCATGGAGCCAAGTTCAACACCTGATGCTCGCATACGATCGGTTTACAGTGGATTTTAGGGAAGAGGTGATTACTGAGAGTCTACAAGAGATGAGACTACTAGGAAGGTCCTGTACCTGTGACTGCGGTTATCAAATGACCGATCGCTCGATCGCGACTGAGACTGAGACAAATCATGATAATAGTTGCAAAATGGATCATAAAGGCACCAGTAACACTGCCTGCGGCGTTTGCTGATGTTACTGAAACTTCAGACGTCCAGTGTTATGAGTATCGTCGTGATATGTGTGCACTTAAAATGATACGTCTACACCAATCATTCGGAGGAGTCGGAAGTATTGTGGAAATATATGAAACAGTAGTGCGAAGGCGAAAATACAACAGAGGACGTAGTATCAAGGAAGATTGAGTAAGTAGCACTTCCGTAAATATAATTGACAGGTACTTGGAATTTATGATCGCTCAACGCAAAAGGGGCATTTCCAGAGGGTGAGAAAGTGTCAAGCAAGCACAATAATACCAATTATAAAGGAATACGTGCAGCCGGGCACTACGGTATATACAGATGATTGGAGAGCGTATAGATGCCTTCATGGACTTGGGTATGTCCATTAAGTCGAAGTTCATAAAAGTCATTTTGTCGACCCTACTTCCGGCGTTCATACTAACAACATTGAAGCCATGTGGTCGAGATTGAAGGGATTTTTAAGACCGTACCTAGGCTCGAGAGGATGGCTATTATGGAGCCATATGGACGAGTTCCTATACCGTATGCATTATGATTTCAGAACACCTGAACGTTTATCAAACCTTAACAAGTTTTTAAATCATGCAAAAGAAGAATATCCACTGTAATTCATTATTTTCTTATAATATATTTTTACTTTATAC